TTTCTGTGCGATTTCAGACCAAAACAGCTAGAAAACTTTAGGTTTTGCTTTCAATTTGTCTAACAAGTCTCTCATTAGGCAAACGGTCTAGTTCGTTTCGAGAAAACATGGAAAATGCAGGGAAAAGTCGACGAACTTTGAGTTTTTATCTGAATCGAAATCAATGAAAATGATTTGATGAAAACTGAAAAAATGTTTTAACGAAACCCAAAGTTTATAAGTTTAGAAGCATTTCGCTCTTCTATTCATTTGTATTTTCCATCATTAATTCTATTCGAATTTCGAACTTTTAGAACTTTTCCATTTTTTCCGTTTTCCAAAACCTTTAGATTTCAACTCGAACATAAATCACAATCGTTGAAAAAAGTATAAACATTTGACAAAATCCAGAATTCGATTTGTCACAGAATTTCAATGTTTATGCATCGAAGTTAAAAATAGTTTCGCTTTTAAAACAACAGCATTTTCCATCATGAAGTCTACTTGACTCGAATTTCGACTTTAACCGTTCTCTTGTTATGCCATTTTCCGCAATCCTTGAGTTTGCAACTTGTTATTCCAAGTTTTTATTTCTCATTCATTCACTTTTACTTCTTGACATTTACATTGATTCACAATGAATCTACAGTTTAATGGAGGAAAAAGTTATTCACAGAAATTTCAATTTCTTCAGTTGATTCAAACTTGTTATCAGTTGAAAACATTCTTGGTTTATTCAATGGAGTCAATGTTTGGTAAATGCACAGACAGTCGAAAAGGGAAAAAAAGTCAAAATTAATTTAATTCCTAAAATTATTATTCGTAAAGATGAACAGGGAGGCAAAAAAGTGAACCAAAAGAAGGAAAAAAAATATTCCAATATTATTGATTTTCTATTAATATCATCATCAGAAAAACCCTTTTTTATCTATTCCTTGCTCTCACCAAATATCATTACTTAATGCCAAACATTTCAAATTATTTTATTCAACTTGTTCAGATGTTCATCAAACTCGAATCACCAAATGAACCCATCTGGATTCATTAATAAAAAAATATCATCGATAATTTTACCTCCCAAGTAACCAACATTTCATCTTTAACCATGTAATTATCTGTTCAGTTTGTTAACTAACAATAGCCGATGGAATAAATTCAGCATTTAATATTTTCTTTCATAACTTTATCATGTTAAATTGAAAATTGCACGCAAGTTTCAATGAAACAAACCATGAAAAACACCTTTTTCAGATGGAATGGAAAAAAGAGATTTGCAAATTCGTTTTTTTTTCGAATTTCAGTTATCACCAAAGATAATGCTTCTATAAATTTTGATTGTTTCAAAATCTCATGAGAAGGATCAAAATCTTCATGAGCAACGAAAAGTTTTAACCTCTTTTTACCAAGCAAATTGAATGAAACAACATTTTAATTTTCATCATGAAAGTTGTCAACCATTTTCGATATTCATTGAGACAACTTTTTTGCTTTTTTCATCAATTTGTTCAACATGAATAATAGTGAAAGACTAAATGTTTAACAAAATGTAAAATGTTTGAAGAAAAAAAATTATCAAGTAAAGTCTATTGTAAAAGCATATTGACTGGGAGTTAAAATGAACATTTCTATTGATTAAATTCGCATTTAATGCTGAAATCTTTACAATTTAAATGAACTTTTTCATTATCATGATTCTCTTGGAAATATTGAAGTTACATTTCATTTGGTTCTGTCACTCTACCAAACAAGAAAGAAAATAACATTTTTTATATCAACCGGTGAGCTACGATAAAGTTCAAGACTATTTTTGAATTTGATTCCGAAAATGCTTAGAATCACTAACAAGAATCATTATTTGATGGATAAAGACCAAATTGTGATTGCAGATTAGTTTGGATAAATCTCGAAATTGTCTTAAAACTCGAAAAAAATTCAATTTGCATTTGGATTTTGAACAGTTGAAATCAATTTGACTTTCGTTTGCAACAGTTTCTGTGGTTTTTGATTTCTATAGTCGAAGTCAACTTTAGCTTCGAATCTGGAAAAGTAAATGATGAATTTATGAATACAATTGACCATTTATAACACTTTTTGTGCTCGAAAAGTGAATGTTTAGATCATTTTGTGCACTTGTTTAGTCATTATTTTGAATTTAAACATAGAATGTTTCTATTCTTTGTTTTTATCCGTTTTATCAGACAATTTTCAACTTGACATGCTGTACTTGATTGCACACTTTTGCAACTTTAAACCCTTCCAATTGACGATAAATGCTCAATTACTCTACAATGTTTCCAAAGCTAAACTCTTTTGCATATTTCTTCTTCTTCTTCTTCTTCCTCATCTCGCTCTTTTCTTTACCAGTTTTTTCCCCTTTCCTCATCATCCAAACTTATCCATTTCTGACAATAGTCATTCCCAGAAGTAAACTTTATTCACAAATAAATCGTTATACATGATAACGAATAAGGTTTGAAACAAGTGAACCAGAAAAGGTTATAAGTATTAGAAGCGAGAATGAATCAGAAGAAGAACAAAAAAAATGGAAAAACAATAAGAAACCAAGCTGATCATATAAATTAGTGTAAGTGCAAATTATCATGGCAAAAGTGAGGCCAAGTTCTGAGATTGAATTGAAACTCAATTTAGTTTCACTTTACCAACCATTGAGAGACTATTTCCCATTGAGCATTAACATGAAACTTCAAGGCAAAAAAATGTGAAAACAATGAAACTCTGTTTCCAATCATTTTTATTAGACATTCACATGCACATTGTAACCATTTAGTTGCTCATCAGAATCTGAACTTTTGGAGAAAAAAAATGAAACAAAGATTTCTCTCTATTCATTTCAACAATTTTCGATGACAGCTCAATGAGTAAAATTTTTTTTTCTCCTTTCACTTTTCGTTGAATCAATAATCAATTGATATGAAATCATTTTAAAATCAATTTCAACTCAACCAGAATATAATCAATATTATACCTGATATTTGTGCATGTTTCATGGTTCAGTTCAGTGCAAGAATACAAGGTTTCAATTTTTTCTCTTTCATGTTGTTCCATGAAAAATTTCAATGTTTTGCTTTACCTTTTTTCTTGCTCAGTTCCACTTTTCCTGCTCTTCTGTTTACTTGGAAAGTCCTTTTTTTGTCTCGTATCAAAATGTAATAAAAGGTAAAGCAAGAGGCAAAAGAGCTTAGTAAACACTAATATACACTTAAAATACAGTAATCATATGGTTCACTTGTTTGGATCACATAAACTCAGCCACAGAATCATGGATACAAAGACAATCAAAACTGGTTCAAGTTTAGAGTCTAAACAGAGATGATAACATGAAATGCACTTTAATATCATTTTAATGTCGTCAAAATTTTCACGACTAAAAATCAGCTTCAAATGTCTCTCAGGATAAATTGAACATTGAATTTGATTTACTTGTGATTTCCTTTTAAACTTTGTTTCTTTCACTTTTTGGTAAAATAATTTTTTTCTCCTCTCTTCTTAAGGTGAATTTCAATGAGTTGACAATCTCAATGAATATGTGAAAATGATATTGTTTTGATATCTTTTCACCAGTTTACTCATTTTTTGACTTTTCCTTCATCTTTTGAAAAGCTTTCAACAGTCACACACTAACATTGAATATTATTGAATAATGTTTTGGCAGATTGGGAAAAAACATGAGGTTACGATCAGAAAAAAATACTAGTCTAGTTTCAGTCCATTTAAAAGAAACTCCAAGTTGTTCATTTTCGATGGAAATTTCGCATGTTCTAAAGCGTCACTTGCAGATCGAAAGTAATTTAATGTAAAGTTGAAACTGATTTCTTCCCTCAACCGTGAAAATTGTTTTTTCATTTTGACTACTAATTTTTATTCTAATCATTCAATTCAACTTGTGTCGTGTCATAATCTGACTTTTGAATAAAGAATTTCAAGAGAAAAGTTCGAACTCGAATTGAAACCTTTTAAGAAACTTTATTCAAGTGTAAATGAAAAGGTTCAATTCAACTATTAGGAAATCGCAAAAATCTTTGGTTTCTTTCATGTTAATGATTTCATTTCTGTTTTATGAGCGATTCAATGTTAATCATTTTTTGCTCTTTAGATTTAGATTTCTTACTTTTCTTATTTTTTCGATTTTCACTGATTAGTTAAAGAATCTTGAAATTACTTCTACTTCTGTCTTGAGCACAACCAAGTTAATCTGAGAAAAGATCGTTCGCTCAAAGAATGAGCAAAATTTTGACTCGAACCCAAGTACTTCACTCCATGGCAGCATTTTCATTTCACTGCAATCCTGATTAGTCGAACTAAACATTTTTACTTTTGAATTTTTCTCAAAATTTTCTTTTCGTTCCAAGCTTTCTTTAAATTCAACCGAAGCTGGTTTTGATAGGAAACGATTTTTCAACGATTAATTTGATTGTTTCAATCAACATTTAAACTCTTATTAGTTGCACTTTGATCTTACTGTGAGCTTCAGTGTTGATGGATTGAAATGATGAATGCCAAGCATTAAAGTTGCAACAGTTAAGCTTGCATTTTATTCTTGCCATAATTTTGTGGCCTCTTATTTCATATTTTACAACTGATAACCCAAGTTTACACCAAATTATCTTACCCATGAACTGAATATATCTAGTTAATCAATCATTTTTTTTCTTCTTTTTACTTCTTTTTTTTTGCTCCTTACTTCCTCTCAGATTTTCTTCTCCTGTTTCAACATGTTTATTTTTTCTCCCTTTAACCTTCAACACTTTTTCTTCTCTGTTCATGATTTACCAGATAAAATTCATGATAAAACTAGAAGTAGAACCTTTCTTATATTTCATTTTCATAAACATGTTCAAATCCTTTGATATATTGAAATATTTAAAGAAGCTCAATGAGGAAATTTGAGAAGATTAAATTGTTAGGTTAAACCCATCATTATCCTTATGCAATATAAGCAAATGTCAATCTTTGTTTTAACCCAAAACTTATCAATTTCATCTTTTCTTGTCTTCCAACAGATAGATCAACATCTGAATATCCATCAGCCAAATATTCAAAGATAATTATATGGTGTTTAACCATCTTTGGAGCCATCATGCCAACCAGAATGGAGTTCAATTGTTACTACATTTGCTGTTGAATGTCGAATTGTTGAAACTCGTTTTTTACTGTTGACCAAATTGAGATGACAACCATTGGAATCGAAATGACTGAAGAAGAAAAAGTTTCCAATTTCGTTGTTTTACACTTTCGTTTGTCCTGTTTCATGTCAAATTTTTCACCCAAAATTGTATTCTAGTTTGAAGGGAATGAAGAAACTTGTTTTAAAAACTCATTTCTATCAACTGTAAATGTCTATTGAAGAGCAATTCATTTTATAACAAATTGAAATATTGAATAAATGTTTAAATATATTGTTAATTGTTGGTTTCCTACTTTAAGAAGTCAAATAAAGAGCAAGAAAAGGTGAAGGAAATTTTCCTCTTTTCTCCTTTTTTTCACCATTTCAAGTGTCAAGTTGAATAAAATTAAAATGAACCAACTCAAGCCTGACAATTTAACTGTAATAAGATGTTTATTTGATAAGGTTTCGAGTGATTCAAGCGAATCATAAGTCAATGTTCAACTGAACGTGTAAAGGTGATTCTCATCACTTTCAACGATTTCTTTCCATAACTTTTTCCATTCATTTTCATTCCAACATTTTTTCATTATTTGCTGCTTTCTGGCTCCATGTTAACCTTTACCAAAACAAACTGAAAAACTGTTTAAAGTTAGTCACTGAAACCTGGATGAAATGTAAAGAGCAAAATGATTGTCAAAGTCACGTAAATATTGCAGTTTCTTGTTGTTTTTAATGAAACATCAGTTGACTGGGAGTGAATGGTAAAGTTGTATAAACATAATCTTAGGTTTGGACTGGAAAGGGAAGACAATGTTGTCTGTAAATGAAAGCACAAATAAAATTACATTTTATCATTTCACTGATTTTGCTTTTTGCCTTCTAATCAATTTCAACAGATGAACACTGAAAAACAAAAGGCGCTCGAACAAAAAAGGTTAACGTGATTCCTTTCAATTTGTTCAACTTTTACTTTTATCATCAATTTTTTTCCTCTCTTTTCTGGTCTTCTCAAGCTTTATCCGTTTACCTTTATTGTTTAGTTTCATTATCATTTTCATGTTGCAAACTGATTCTTTTTCAACCTTTTTTTTCATTTCCATGTAAAACCATTTGTTTGACTAACAATGAAATTAAATGAAATGAAAACGGTCGATGGAATCGCTTTTTTCTTCCTCGTTTCTTCTCTTGTTTCATCTTTTTTTGATTGTTTCATTTTTATAATATTTTGAATCCATCAAATGTTCATTATTTGCAAGTTTAGCAAAACTATTCAACAAGTATTACAATGAAACTAAATTTACAATTTTATTGTCTTTTCTCTTGTTCCCATTAATTGGCCGAAGAAAGAGAAAGGATTGCTCTTGTTTCTGTATTTGGAGGAAATCAGGTTCAATCTTTTTCCAGAACATTTTTATTCCTCTTATTTATTCTTGAAGAATCTGAATTTTAACATTCATCATTTCTCATTTCCAGATAGTGTGCGAACAAGTGAAAGCGGAAAATCTAGAAAAGCTCGATGAAGGATAAAAACCAAAGCCGACCAAAATCTGCCAAATCAAAAATGAAATACTTTTCTGTTAAATAATCGAACAGCAGAAACGCCCAAAGTGACCTCCTTGGAGCAAGTCACATTGGATTCTTTTTTTCTACTCGAAACCTGAAAAACTAAATGATGGATCGAAAAAGGGAATGAATTTTCGGAATCAATGCGAAGTTTTAAGCCTGGGAAGGAAAATGTCTGAAAGTATAATATTTCGAAAACAAATTTTACTTTTTTTGTTCACTTGATGCTGGACACTGTATAACATCATCTTAACGTTGATTGAACCAATAAACTTGGTTTAATGTTTATTGATTAGTAAACTGTTGTAAATCTCATGTAATATATTATACTTACTTGGTAAGACAATTTAAGACACATTTGCGACTTCAATTAAATCTTGTTTTTAAGATAATCCAATTTAATGTTAACAATTTTTCACTTGAATAAACAAGAAAATCCAAATTAATGGATGATAAATCTTCTGATAAATAAAATCAATTTGAATAAGCTTTACTAGTCGATCAACCTGAAGATGAATCGAGTTATACAACATGAAATATCATAAAATGAATCATGCACTTTCTCACAAACAAGAGACCAAAACAAATCAAACATTAAAATTCATTAAAGAACTATTCTCCCTAAAATATCACACAAAAATAGTCAAAATGCTAACCAAAGACCAACACTAAAGGAAGATTCCCTGCAATCAAAGAATCAAAGGGACTTCTTCATAATAATCCATATAATAAGTAAAGAGCAATAAATATTGAAGCAAAAATGATGAGAAACTAGTTTCGTTAAAGGTTATATAAAATCGAGTTCAATCCAAATTTAGATCTGATTTGCTTTGTTTTATAAGATTATCGATACAAATTGATGTCCACTGTGAATTCAAGCAAATCTGAACTAATCTTAGACTCCGAGTCAATCAGAAAAACATAACTTCTGGTCTAAAAATAGTCTCTAGTTTTTTGTGTCTTTCCCTTGAAAAACATTATCATTGATCTATTCACTGAATATTGAGATATTGAAGTAAAACTGGAGGAAAAGTTAAGCAAATTATTTTGCAACAAGAATGTAAATTAAACTTGCAACTATTAAGTTTAATAAATTTAACAACATTAAGCAAAGTGAAAATAAATTGTCTGCCAACATTGTAAAATTAAAGTTAACTTCATTGATGTGCCATTCAAAGGCAATATTGAGCCAATTATTTTTAATTATTATCGGATGAAACTTTTTACTGTAAGTCAATTAACCCAACTCATTAAGCAAACAATTTATAATCTTATATCATGTAAGGTGTTAATGTCATCAGATTTCTTGTGTAAAGGTGAAAACATGAGTAAAGAGTAAAGAAGAAGAAAAAAGTGAAAATTTTCTTGAAGATAAACTGTTATTACAATAAAACTTGGAAAAGTGAATCGATATTGTGAATATTGCAAGTTAAAGGGTGAAACATTTTCATCTTTTTCCAACGTTTAATGGGCAATTTATTTGCTCGATAATTTACTGTTTATGAACCTTTTTGCGTTTGAATGCTCAAACAAATCCTATCAGATGATACATGATGTATGCATGATTCATTTGGTAAACCAAGTTGGTGGAAATTGAATCAAAATGAAAAGTCAGGTAAAGCACATTTGCCTGAAGCATTCACTGATATCCAATTATTCACTTGTCATGATGAGCAAGGAAAAGGTTCAAGTTGTCATTGGAATGATTGGTTTCTCTGCTCTTTCCTATTAGGCCTTGGATGCAACTTTAGACGGAAGAGTAGCTTGGGTCAGTGTATCAGAATTTTACTCATTTTTTTGCTCGATGATAAACACCGGTAATCTATCAACTGTGCTTTAACAGACCAAGAGTTACAATTGAAGATGAACAATCCTTAATCAACTTGAAATTACAAATGCTACCTCAAGCCTATCTTTTTGTACTTTATTTACCCTTTTCACTCTTATTTTTGCTCCTTTTTTCTTCTTCTTTTCACTTTTTCTTCATCCATTAATACGCTGGTTTCATCCATTCAACTTTTTCTTCTCCTCCTGTTAACTTACTGTTGAAATGTTCATCTTTATCCTCTTTTTTTCTTCGTGGAAAGGGTGAGAAGAGGTGAAAAAAAGTTGTTGATTATAACTCTCAAGTGGCTTTACTTTGGATTTGAAGAGCTCTGAATTTGTAGAAAAACTAACTTCAACTAATCTTACCTCTTTTACTCATCTTCTTCTTACATGGTGATTCCATATAAACATTAAAAAAAGTTCAAGTGATAGGTGAATACACATAGATTGGGCATTCTTTTTCATACTCATCATCTACAGTCTCAAACTAGAATTGATGAGTGAAATGGTGGGAATGTTGGTAAAAGAAAAAGATAAAAATTCTATTTGAAGGGTCGTAAATGGTCTGAGGAAAGGATTTTATTGGCACAAAATAGTGGTTAACAGAGTTAGTCAGGAACTTTTAGTGTCTAAGTTTCACTGCCCATAAGCAGTGAGCATTGATGAAATTACTTCCACGTTGGACTCAGTCCATCTTAGGTTTTCCAGTGATGACGAGATCTGGTACTGCTAAGAATAAGTTTATCCGCTTTGAATAAGTTACTCTGGGTAAATCTTATGTGACGAATAGGCTAACATTACCATAATAAACTCCGAGTCACACAGTCTGTCACTACTGAACAATAATGTAACAATCATAACTTGAAGCCGTAGAGATATTACTACACTTGGTTTCTGGCTGTTGCTAAAAAGACACAATTATCACAATTATAATGCTTTTTCACAAATTGACACAAATGGGCAAAAATTGATTTCTAGCACACATAGACTCTGTAAGTTTGTAGAGACATAAAAACTGAGTCTACCTGTGCAAATTACAGATTTCTCTGATCAATAGTTTTCGAAGAAATCGAGGTAAAGGTTTCCGATGTATCAACAGTTCTCTTTATTCTGGCCATTTGCCTGAAAAGTTTGACCCTTGATATTTCGAGAATGGCAGCATTTACAATCATCATTCTTCGACTAATTATTAGATTGAACTATGAGCTGTAACATAGCATGAATAAACACCTATGAAAATCTGAGCGCATTCATTTATTATTTATTAATAATAGACAATACTCTTCTAACTCACAAGATTTGTTTTTGAATAACTATTTATCTTTATAAATCTGACAACGTACAATGCTATAACTTATTTTGTAGGATCTTAAATAAATTCAGTATATTATAGTCCATAATAAAATCTGATATTTGGTGAAAGAATGATGCTTGTAAGTGCTGCCATTCTCGAAATATCGAGGGTCAAACTTTTCAGGCCAATGGCCAAAATTAAGAGAACTGTTGATACATCGGAAAAATTATTTAATCCACAATGTGCAAAATCAATTTGATACACTAATAACAAGTTTCATTCCTCTAATTTTTACGGTCACAAAATGCGACAGGTTTAACTAAAAATCGAACTGATCTATTTTGAAAGAAATCGAAAATGTTATTTCTCAAATATGTACATTTTCTGGTTGATTATAAAAAGGTACATAAGCAAAATGAATTTCAGCAAAAAATCTGATCACACAACTGTACAAATGGCGATCGAAGTTTCAACTTTGAGTCCGATTTTCTCAATAACTGTAGATCAGAGGAATTATTTGATAGTACCAATAAACTTAGTTTTTATGTCCCTACAAACCTACCAAGTCTAAACTCTTTACTCAAATGTTCGAGCCTTTGGCAGCAGTCTTTGCATTAAATTAAAAAGTTTAAACAGAAAATTGGTTTATTTACCAAGAAATGGGTTTATATGAGTTTTGTATGTTGAATAAGTTGTTTCTCGCACATCTACAACCCAAAAATCAAGACCCAAATGCACTAATGGCAATTTAATGAATCGAACTAAATTATTAATTACTAAAGAATCAAATTGGTGGATGAATGATGATTGTAAGTGAGTCCATTATCGAAATATCGAGGTTAAAAGTTTTAAACAAAATGGCCAAAATTAAGAGAACTGTTTTCAAATTGGACAAAATATTCGATCCCTAATGTTTGCCAACAATTTTTATGAACCAATAATAAGTTTCAGTTCTCTAACCCTTATAGTCACAGAATAAGGTCAGTTCAACCTAAAATCGAACTGATCTGTTTTAAAGGAAACAGAAAATGTTATTTCTAAAAATAAGTTCATTCTCTGGTTGACCATCAAAAGACACATTAGGTAAATAAGTTTCATGAAACAATCTGTTCAGACAACTGTAGAAAACGCGATCGAAGTTTCAACTTTGAACTCGATTTCCTCGAAAACTATTGATCAGAGAAGTTTATAAATCGCAGTAATGGACTCAATTCTTATGTTTATACAAAACAACAAAGTCTAAATCTGAACTAAACTAATTTTTACCCATTTCAGCCCATTTCTTTTTCAGTATTTGTGTCAATTTGTGCATAAATGTTACAATTGTGTCTGTTTAACTGCATAACATGCATTATGGAAACAAAACTTATAATGAACGCATTTATTCGCCACTCTTAAGCTAAAGCAAGATTATATTCGGTATTTATCCTTACTATGCTATAGCCCATAATGCAGTCTAATGTTTGCTGAAAGAATGGTGATCGTAATTTGTGCCATTCTCGCAATATTCAGGCTTAAAGTTTTAAGTCCAATGGCCAAAATCAAGAAAACTGTTGAGAAATTAGAGAAAGTATTCAATCAAGGATGTGCACAATCAATTTTAATGGACTAATAATAAGTTTCAGTTCTCTAACACGAACGGTCACAAAAAACGATCAGTTTAACTAAAAATCGAACTGATCTGTTTTAAAGAAAACACGAAATGTTATTTCTCAAAATGAATTTATTTTCTGGCTGCCTATTAAAAATTATATGAGCAAAATGGATTTTATTAAAAAATCTGGTCGCACAGTTGCACAAAATGGTATCGAAGTTTCATCTTTGACTGCAATTTCCTCGAAAACTAACAATGAGAGAAACTTTGTAATCACACGAATGGACACAATTCTCAAGTCCTTTCAAACCAACAAAGTCTAAATTTGAAAGAAATCATTTTTTACCCAATTTTTGCCCATTTGTGTCAATTCGTGAATAAATGCTATAATTGTGTCTTTTTTTAGTAACAACCTTAGTTTCTTTATTATTGGAATGCATTAGGTTGTGATTTTATCAGAATTGGCTTCTGAAGTTTGGAATCGAAATAAAAATAAATTTAAATTGTGATAAAAGATGGTCGCATGGCGATCACAGTAATAGCATTTAGTTATTTTACACTAATTTTGAGCTTTTTATATTTCAATTTACAATAAAAAGTTGTTTCTTTCAAAACTTGGAGCTATCCACAAATCCTTGATTAACATATCCAGCGTCAGGTTGTTCAGCTGCAACGGTAAGATCAACGATTCCTTTGGACAGATTACGATCAAGTTTAATCTGTTTCTCTTTTGAACGACGTTGAGCAATATTAATCCACAGGAAAACTCCAAAAGGATACAAAAGTAATGCCGCCACTGCATGATAAGTTGTTCCTGGTAAACTTTCCATGGTCAAGTTAAAAATCGAAGTGCAAAAAATGCTTGAAACCATTGGACTAGCTGCTTGTATGCATGATAGTATCGTAAATACTTGAGCAATCTCATGGAAAGAAATGATCTGAGTAAGAGTTGATCGAGCTGAAGGAATGGACATGCCTCCAAGACCATAAACAATGTAACCCATAATATAAGATTCCTTGTTAACCATGCCTTTGAAAAGGTTGGACAAAAAGTGGGACAAAGTGGCTATGGCCGCTAAAGTCGAATCTTGATAATTGAGAAAACTCTTGAAAAAAGCAGCTCCTAATATGGCTCCAAAGGCTTGAATCAAAAGCAGAGCTGCATTGATGTTTGAGTAATGACGATAATCCCAGTGAAAAACCTTTTCAGTAAACTGAAACCCAAAGTTGGATTCAGAGAGTAAACTGATAAACAGTATAAATATGGCAAAGCAAATGTTGAGAACCTTGGCTCGATCACCATTTTCCCGTTTTCGAAGGCACGTTTTGAAGGTATTGATAACATTTTGTAAATTGATAATGGACTTGAATGATTTAGCAATCGGTTTGATTGATGCAATGGAAACTCTTTGTCTGCCTTTTTCCTTGCTACCAATTTGTTGTTTAAGATGGTTGTTATTGTTGATGGCGTCTTCAGATATTATTGCTATTGATAATGAACTCTTCTTGTTTGTTGTTGTATCGCTTAAGCGGTCTGAAGTCGATTTATAAGAAACTTGGTTTGCTGGAATCAGATTGGAAACCAGTTTGCTTGATTGAGATTCAATTTTGTTATTTGCTTTTGATCCAGTGATCTCTTTGACGCTTTTAACTGTGGCAACATTATGCTCGTCTTGATCGTCTTCGGCGCAATCATTTAGCAACATGTAAACCCAAATTGTCGCTAAAATCATTATTATTGCATTTGTCAGAAAAACGCCAACATAATTCCGGTTACCAGCGATGAACCAACTATCCATGGCCAGAATTTTGGCTCCAAGAGCTGTTGCAGCAGGTTGAGCTATTATTGATAACATTGGATAGGAAAAAAACAATCAATGTAAGCAATTAGTTGAAGAGTAAAATTGTGCAACTCAAGGTAAGATTTTCTTGAATAAGTTTCAGAATCTAATCTGAAAGTTGTTATTGTTTAAAATATTTAAGTGACAACAATTGAGTCGATTTGCTTTCATCATTTAATAATCTTCACAATTGTGCATCCGAGCATTTCTTTATTGCTATAAATCACGTTTACTCTAGCAAGGTTTTTGTCTAAATGAGCTTCAATCAAAAATAACGACCATTATAAATAATGATTTCAACGTTTCCATCATTTTGATTGACAGTCAAGATTCATGATCTAATCATTGCAACAATGTAAACCCTCACCAAATCTAGTAATTAATTGTTTCAGCTGTTGTTATCTCATTTCTTGCCATTGTGGCTTCTCTTTGTCTGAGCTAAAGGTTTGGACTGAAGAAGTCGTTTGTGAGACTTACCCGTGAGAAGAAATAGTTCAACCACAGCAAATCGAATCGATCTGAAATTTTGAGGTGTTTTACGAGCTATATAAGTAAATGCACAAGTTAAAACCAAAGGTATACTGCCTCCAATACCCATTACCAGAAATGACCAATAAGTAAGACACAGCTCTGAAATGACACATTAGTTTATTAAGCTATATTAAGAGCGACTTATGTTTGTTTATATATTTTAGTATTTTACGAATTTCTTACCTGAATCGAAGTGAATACATTGTATCATCAAAGTGATGGATTGAAGAGCGATTGAGACACAAGGAACCATCAGAAGGTATCTTATGTGCGCTGGATAAGAGTCGATCCAAAAACCAGAGAAGAGAGAGATTGCTATACCGGGAATCGTTGATAAAATGGTTTGCCAGTTTTTGATTTTAGTGGTTCTTTCCAGGACATCGTTTTTGGTAACTTCAGTTATCTCAGTAGTTTGGTCGAGATTTTGGCACAAATCGGGATCAATGTGTAACTCGTTGATACAAATTTTATCCTCAATCAGTTGAGTTGTAGGAACTTGACCAATGTAATAACCCAGCATAAACAGAAACAAGTAAATGTCAATACGGAGTACCTTTATTAGATGGCCATTTTTGCTGATAAAAGATGATTTAACCATGGCGTTTACTGTACAAGACTTTGGTCACAATTAAATTTTAACAAATTAATAAATATACAAAATAAAACGGAAAAACAAGGCGACATTAACTGGTTAAAAAAGTGTAAACAAAGAAAAAGAGGGATAAAGGGAACCCAAATTAACCCAGTGTTAACATTGATAAGGGTCAAACTGTAGCTACCAACATCGATCACTTAACCACCAAAAATGACTTTTTATTAAATTGTTGCCATGTTTTCGTTTAACTAACTTGTTATCATGATCAGGGTTAATTGTCTATCGTTTATCTCATCTTTTTCAATTGTTTTCCTTTCTTCAAGAGTTTGAGGGAGAACCTAATGTAAAGAGAGGGAAAAGGAAGAGCGTGAGAGAGACTCATAGGAATGGGAATCTGGTTAGAGGTAATGGATCGACTGGTGAAGATAAATTGAAGACAAAATGCCAAAACGAATTAACGAATTAACTCAGTTAATTAGTCAATTAATCGCTACTAATTGGCTCTTTTTTTAGTGATTTTTGTCCTCAGTCTTGTTTTTTGTGACCAAATGCACGGACAAGCTGTCAAGGTTTCAAATTGATAAGAAGTAATGCTTTTACCAAACAAGTGCTCTTGTGATCCTAGCTGTTAATGCGGTTTAGTACAAGTCTTGCCCATTAGCAATTATCAACTGTGGCTGCGTCAGTCTCAAATGGGCTTATTTAATGTTGCCCAACGATAATGTAAAAATGTCGAGAAAATAATTTTGATCAAAAAGATTTTTTTAATGCATTCAAATTTCCATATGTCAATGTCCATGTTGAAGTATCATTTATTTTTATTGAAAAGGTATACAAGCTGATGTATCAGTTTTGTCAGGGAATCTCAACAGTCTTCACTCATTTAAGTACAATGTCAATGAGGATATAAATACATCTTGAATGTGAAAATTAATTTCTGAGTGACTTAGTGACTTGGTTAATGAATGTTGTCAAATTGCAATCGGAAATAATTTGCTTCAACTTATCAATAATGGGAAAGTTAAATTTTCATCACTCGTTGCCTTTCACTTGAAGCGCACTCTTCAACCATATACTAACGTTTTGTTTATGTAACACTTTTAACCTTCTAGAGTTGGTAGAATCTATGAGTCTGTAGCTCATCGAGAAGAAAAAACGAACTGAGATTGATAACAGTTCGAGTATTTAATTAATTTGATGTAAATATAACGAAAACAGTAACTGAATAACAACAGTTCGTTAAAATAGCTTATTCCTATTTGTCGAGCAGTAGTTCTTGAATAATAGACAAAACCTGCTGTGAAATTAAACGAATGTAAAATTTAATGTTAATTATTTCAGTTTGCAATTAAAAACGTATAAAATATCATCAACAAATCTTCACTTGAGCAGGTGGCTATTCAAAGGATCGATTATCACTCGAATTGAAAATGATCGGTTGTCTGAGCATTCGTGTTACAGCTTTAAAAACTCTTTAATGTGAACGACTGGTGCAACTTGCAATCTAATTTTTCTTATGGAAAGGTGCTAATGTTTATGTTTCACAATCACATCTAATATTAATTGTTGAGACAGTTGAGAATAATAGCTGAATTGGATCTGGTAATTTCTCCTTGGAAACATGTTATACTAGTTATCATCTGGGGATGACTATGGAGACGATTATGATGATTATCATGCTGATGATCCACTCTTAACAACGATAGCTAACCAAAGTAGTTGGCATTGGTTTAGTCTGTTTACTTATTCAATGGAATTTATTTAACTGGTTATCTTTAATTTTATTCAGTTTATTTCTCTCTTTTATTTTGAGTTTTCTTCAATCAAGTTTGCTACATTGGTAAACAATTTCAAGGTTGGTAATTTTGAATATTATGAAGTAATTTTCTCATCACCAAACTATTCAATAATCATTTCTTTTTCTTGTCTATCATTTATTTACAGAATCGGTTGGTTGTCAGTTGGTTAACAAAGATGTCCATTTCAAAAGAAACGAAATTGAAACGTTTTCAATTCAATATATTTACATCACTATTCCTTGGTTATGGAAGTTATGGCCTGAACCGAAAAAGTGTTTCACTGGCGATGCCATCAATGATGGGCCAGGGACTGGGAACAAATGAAGCTGGTTAGTTGTGGCAAAGTAATTTACTTATGGTTGATGTATCAAAGAATATGAAACCTTTTGGAGTTAGTCAAAAATGTTATTATTAGAAATACCCAACTACATCACATCAACACCATGTGAACAGCTGAGCCAACAAAAGAAATCAAAACATAAAAGTACAACTCTTTTGTTGATTTCTTCAACCTGTATCATCTTTATTCCTTATTCTTCCCTCTATCAAAAGGTTTAATTGCTAGCAGTCAAAATTTGGCTTATGCAATTAGTAAATTTGCCGGAGGAATTTTATCTGATCGTATCAGTGCTCGTCTTCTTTTCTCTTTCGGATTAATTGCCAGTGGATTGATTACGATAGCCTTCTCATTCAGTGATTCAGTTTCTGTTTTCACCGGTCTTTGGTTTTTGAATGGATTGGCCCAAGGAGCTGGTTGGCCTGCTTGTGCCAAGTTACTTCGTGAGGTAAATTGTTTTCAATCTTTATCTAGTTGCTATCATCAATTCAAATCTATAATAAGTTTCTATTCTTTTGAGAGCTACCATCAACTGAACTTTTCCAAAATGATATAATTGATCATTAGCTCTTATCTCTCCTATTTGTCTCTTATCCCTTAAAATCTTTCTAATCTAATCATTCATTCTTTAATTCCAGTGGTATGATCCAGTTTCATTTGGAACGTGGTGGAGTTTACTATCAGCGAGCATTAACATCTCAGGAGGAATTTCACCATTCGTGGCAGCTTTCTTGACTACAACTTATGGTTGGAGAACAAGCATTTTCTTCTCAGGGGCAGTTTCTGTCTTCTTTGGTGTTGTCGCGCTACTTTTCTTGATAAATTCACCAACTGAGATCGGACTGAAGGGTTTTGGTCAATCTCAAAAGCAAGACAAAAAAGGTATATTACCCTTATTATTTTGTCCAAGACTAGTTAGAGTAAGTTAGACTGCACCTGGCAACTAATCAATCTTTTAACAAATCTTGTCTCTATTTTCGTTGAGTATTTCTTTATACACCTAAGATGCAAAGTCTGCGCACGTGAAAGTCTAGAGAAACAACCAAGAATATATAATCACAATACTTAATCATTGATTTTATAGCGCAATTATCCGAAGTCTTGTTGGAGTTCTTCTGACACACTCTGCCAACATGTTTTATTATTAATAGCCAACTTCAAGTTTTACAGCATTAGATACTGAAAATTGAAAAAGTTTTTCTGCAGATTCAACAAAAGTCTGAAAATCGAAATTACTTTATGTCTTTATCCCTTTACTAACTAACTTTTACTAATGTAAATATTTAATCACAGGCAAATCACAGGGCAAAGAAACTATTAATGACCTTATAAAATCACCGATGCTATGGATTGTAGCAATTGCTTATATGAGTGTGTCTTGTTCCAAGACAAGTTCAACTGATTGGGGACAAGTTTATTTAATGGAAGAGCGAAAACAGTCTCAATATGTTGGTGAGTTCATCATTTTATTGAAATCCGGCATAATATGAAATCCTTATGATCTTTAGACGAATATACTTTATATTAACTATAGCGAGTGGATTCACTAGTAGCATTGAAAGTGGAGGCTTTGTTGGCTCGATTTTTGCTGGCTGGTTAACTGACGTTTACCTCAAATTAAGAAAAGAAAAAAACACCGTTAAAGGGCGAATGCCTGTGGCCATTTTAATGATGATTGGTCTTGCTGTTTGTTTTCATCTTTTATACTTCCAAATAACTCCAGATACAACGAAATTTACAATTGCTTCCATCGGATTCGTTCTCGGAGCTTGTCTTTATGGGCCAATCGCTTTATTCGGCATATTAGCCACCGAATCCGCTCCATTACATCTTTCCGGAACTGCTCATGCTATTGTTGCTCTTTCAGCAAATGGTAAATTAATTTATCCTTTTCCGTTAAATTGAATTTATGATCTTAATTTTATGTTTCAACAATTTTCTACTTTACAGTTGGTGCCATAATCTCGGGATTACCATTCAGTTATGTTGCTGCCTTCTATTCATGGGGATCAATCTTCTTTTTACTTGAAATTGTCACCATTTTCACCGTGTTCATCATGTGTTTCTATGTCAAATTTATTCCAAGCGATAAACGGAAAGCAGAATGATCAAGAAATAACTATAATTTTACACGAATTAGTTTTCTTCATAAATATTATTACTCTATACTTTTATATGTAAATTTTACTATTGTTTAGAGATTTAATCTATCAATATTTGTAGTAAGAATAAATGTTTTGGCATTTATGGAAATATAGATGAATTTAATTATTTACAAATTCCATTAAATTTTGTTAATTTTCATAAGATTGTTTGATGGTCAGTGGATATTGTGAGAGGTCATTTTAGATATTGATGTTGAGTTATGATTCATCTCCACTACTTTGTTGGCTTTGTGGACTTTGTTGACTCTGTTGGCTCCGTTGGCTTTGCTGACTTTGTTGGCTTTGTTGACTCTGTTGACTGTCTTCGTCATCTTGACTATTGTCAGATCGAGCTGGACTTCTTTCAACCTCAGAATCAGAGGCTTCTTCTTTTTTGACAGGCATTGGTGACCCTTCAGACTCGGATGAATCGTCATCTTTTTGTTGCTCAGGTTCTTCTTCTTCAGCATCATTTTGATCATCTCTTTCCTCTTGATCTTGCTCTTGTTCACTATCTTTATCGGCTTCACGTTCAGCTTCACTTTTTTCACTATCACTTTGGTTATCACTTTGGGCATCACTCTGATTTTCGCTATGATTGTCGCTTCTTTCGTTATCACTTTTTTCGTTGTCGCTTCTTTCATTTTCACTTTCCTCTTTGTCTTCTTTTTCATTTTCTTCATCTTCTTCGTCATCCTTCTCTTCTTTTTCTTGTTGATCATTTTCTTCAGAGTCTGAAGCAACAAATTTTTTAAGAGCAAACTTTTTAGCTTTTCCCTTCTTTTCTTTCTTTGGACTTTCATCTGACTTAGCATCTGAATCCTCCTCTTCAGAATCAATAACTTTCGATTTGCGTTGTTTCTTTTTGCTTACTTTGACTTTTTTAGCTTTCTTTTTAGCAATTAATGAATCTGAGTCTGATCCTGACGCTGATCCTGATCCTGAACCTGATGGTGATTCTTCAGAAGAAATTTTAGGACTAGCTTCAGCGTCAGATTCTTGGGCGATAACTAAAGGTTGCTCTCGTTGTTCATCATCAGAGCTTGAGTCAGAATCTGAGACGAATTCTCGAGAAACAACTCGTCCTTTTGATTTTGCTGCGATTTCTACCGCTTTTGGTTGTTTTTTGGAAGATTCAGATGACTTTTTCTTTGAAGATCGTTTATCCTTATGTTTTCGACGTCGTTTCCTTTCTTCTTTTCGGTCAGCTGTTCCAGCATCAGATTCATCGCCTGATCCTTTTTCAACCTTAGGTCGCCTCTTTTTCTTGATACGTTTCTTTTCTCCTTCATCACCAGAACCAACTTTAGCCTTCTTACGAGGGCGAACATTTTCATCTCCAGATCCGTCTCCATCTGTAACAAAATCGTCATCAGCACCAGCCTTTCTTGATTTACCTTTTTTAGAGGGTTTTTCGTCTGGTAGATCTTGGAATTGTAATTTGTTTTTGGTTTGCTCAACAAATTGTTGTCTCTTTTGAATCAGTTCCTTTTCTTGTTTTATCTTTTCTTCTTCTGCCCGTTTCAGTTCATCCTCCATCTTTTGACGAAGAGCTTCTCGTTCCAATTCTTGTTTTCTTCTGATTTCTTTTTCTTCTTCGTCCAATCTTCGAGCTCTTGCAACATGGTATTGTGCTTGACTCAGTAAATCTTGACAGTGTTTAGCTTCCATCGAAGCAGCATTTAAGTCAAACTTCATCTTATCACCACTGACTGACAGGTATTGGAAATATTTATGAGCTAAACCAAGTTCATGGACAGCTTTAAGAACAACTTGAACATTGCTTTTACTATCTTCAAGAACATGAGTGGCCAGCTTTTGAAGAACTAGGGCAAGATTGTACAGAATTACAGTGTCTTGAGGTGCAACTCGACGGCATTTTAAGAGTACATTTTTACATTCTCGCAATTTACCACATTTAAAATAAGCTCGAGCCAAATACTGAAGAATTTCTGTGTTATCATGTCGATAGAATTTTTTCAAACAATTTTCGTACATTTGAATTGCAGCAACATATTGTTTCTGTTCAACATATATGTGAGCAATATTTACCCACACATCGGGAAATTCAGCTGTTGCTTCTCGCACTTGAGCGAAAACATCTCGAGACTCAGAAATGTATCCTTTATGTGCAAGAACAGCACCGATTCCGTTAGCTGCATAAATATTGTTGTTGTCCATATGGAGGATTTGTTTATAATGTGATAATGCTCTTTGTTGATGTCTTTTAACTTTCTCTTTATCTTTGTTTGGTTGATGAAGAGTTTGAAGCCAAACATTGGCTAGAGCTAAATGTGAATAAGTGTCTTGAGCTGTTGACTCTTTCTTTAAAATACGCTCGAATTTTTTCTGTCCTGGACCCCATTCTTGTTTAGCAAAATGAAGAATACCAATATGTGACCAAGCTTCAGGGTTATCTTGGTCAACCTGAAGAGCTTCTTTGAACCAATCAGAAGCATCGTAAATCTGGCCACGATCTCTTGCCATACATCCTAAACGAAGGTAACAATCGATATAGTTTGGATGTTCACGCAAAATATCTTTGTAAATTTTTTCTGCTTTATCATAGAAATGCATTGCCTCATACAATCTGGCCAAGTTATAGTTAATCGTGACAGATATGCAACCATAATAATGTTCATCGTTAGATTCTTCTTGTTTACATCGTTCTAATGCAGCTTCATAATTTTTCATTGCATCTTCCAAATGACCCAAACGAAAATGTAAAGCGGCAATATTATTGTAAATTTCTGATGGTATGTCAACTTGCACTTTTTCTTTGAGAATTTTAATTGCAGTTCCATAAGCTGATAAGGCTCCCTGTAGATCAGACTGTTCCAAAATTTGTGCCAATTCTATCCAGGCTTCAACATCGTCGGGACATTGATCAGTGACCTTTTTTAAATAAGTTTTTGCCTGATCTCGTTTATTTTGATTATTTGATTGGGCATATAGAGAACCTAGAATTTTCATAGTTTCATAGTTATCAGGATGAGCTTTTAAAACTTTTTCAAAGCACTGAGAAGCGTTTTCAGTATCTTTACGATGAATGTACATTTGGCCTAAACCAAATTGAGGTAAAACAAACTGTGGAGAGGCGAATTGTGTTGCTTGGTAGTAATATTGGAAAGCTTGATCGTAATCTCCTTGGATATGGAATGCTCTTGCAAGTTGATAACAGCTTTCAGCTCTCATAGCCTCATTTTCAGTGTTGTGAAAAGCATGAAGGGCAAGATGCTGAACTTTGCTATAGTCTTTTTTGAAGAAAAAATGATTGGCAAGATGATTAAGAACCATGGGGTCAGTAGGATCAATTGTATAAGCTTTGGAAAGCATCTGTACTCCTTTCCTAATAGATTCTGGTGTTTTATCGTTCAATTCTAGCAAAGCAAGTCCTACTAGAGCACCAACACATTGTGGATCCAGTTGCAAGGCTCTTTCAAATGAAAGGCGAGCCTTTTCAGGTTTTCCAAGCTTGTAAAAACAGTGACCAAGTCCTAGTCGAACGTCAGCTGGGCAATTAGGATTACTACGTAAGGCTCTTTTGTACTGAGCTAAGGCTCCGGCATAATTTTTCTTGTTAAATGCAATGCATGCTTTACCTAGCAAAGCTGCCATATTGTTCTGAGCTTGTCCCATAACAAAGTTAAACTGTGCATCAGCTTGATCCATTTTGTCACCTTCGAGAAAACACAGGTATGTTTTACCAAGCAGATGGTTTTGATCATACATAATTATCTTGTCACCAATAGTGAAAAGATGATGAGCTTTGTTAAAAAAATCCTTCTTTTTATCTCGATTCTTTTCTCGATTTCCAAGCTTGATGTAGTAAGCAGCTAAAGTATCTAAAGCACGCATCATATCCTTTTCATATTCGGGATAATCAAGACAATGCTCTCTTGGTAGATTGGTATTCTTTTGCTCCAAGAATACCAAGATTCTTTCAACACAGACATCCAAAATATGCACGAAATCTTCATGTTTACCTTGCTTGTAGTATTCAACCTGATTAGAAAAAGAGATGACATAAACATGATTAGCGTTTGAAAAAGTGTAAAAATTTTTTTATAACAGTATCAGAGATTATAGATTTAAGATTAGACCACGAAACTTACCGCCAAAGAGATCCAAACATTGAGAATAGGTTGTTCTTGTCGTAAAATTTCAAGCACTTCCGAGCCTTCAGGTAAATTTTCAATGTTTAACTCGATAACTTCATCAATACTATCCCGTAAAGGGATTTCAATTTTATCAGGCATTATGACTGAAATAAATCAATATAAATCTTAAAAGTTGTCATTAACAAAATTGATAACACAAGCTATCAAACAACATGGAAACGGCTTCTAGGAGAAACTAAACCGTAAAACAGCAAGATGCCGATAGGGCGCCGAATTCAAATCTCTTAATACTTAACAGTTAAATCTAATTATGAAGATGAATTAAGATGATTGCGATTAAATCAAATTGGAACAACAACATAATTTTAATAAATTCAAAAAACCAATGAGCTTTATTTTTCCATTGAACATGAGATTATTATAATTTACAATTTCGTAAACATTAAAATTTTTCCAATTGAAAAAATTATCCCAAATCATTATGAAAACAATAAACATTTAATCTGTTCAAGTTCATGATTTTAATTGATCTAGTTCAATGTGGTGAAATTAATTGAAACAGTAAACATATTAAACACGATTGACGTCATTACAACGTGATCATTTTTTAAATGAGCATAAAAATTTGCTGCAATCAATTAAATATGAGTTATCAATACAACATATGTAACTTATATTTAGCTGTTGAATATGTTTACATTAAATAACAAGACCAAGCAATTTAATGGTTACATTTCAAAACATGAATTTACTGATTCCATTTCATAACATTTCGTTATTCGGGATGTAATAATGCAATAGGGTCAGCCAATCATTACTTGATGAATTAGCTTAATCTTAGTTGATCATTGACAATTAAGGTTCATTGTGACCATTGGAGATTGTTTGGTTACAGCTGGACGATCATTTGTTCAACGGAATCCATGTAACATGTTACTGGCTGGGAAGGCGGTTGATTTTAATGGGTTGGTTGGATCAAGACTAATATTAGATGATATTAGTTATCAATTAATGAATTTTGTTGTTTAAGTGATAAAATGATACAGTTTTCAATGTGGTTACTGCTTTAACCGTTAGATGGAAGTTGGTTGATTTAACATATGAGCTAAACTCATCGAGCTCCTTGTGTATTTTGCTCAAACATATTCTTGATTTAATAGTTGTTATTGTCTGTTTTGATAAATATTTTTGTCTTAATGTTAATACTGTATTTTTTTTCAACAACCTGTGAGTGTAAATCATCATAGTTGTGTCTCAGTTTCGCCTTCGTCTTCGATCTCTTCCTTCTTTTTCTTAAATTATTTTTTTTTCTGGTGGTGCAATGGATGAAAAACAAAAACTGGAACAAGAAAATCGTCGGCTCCAGATTGAAAATGAATCACTCAAATTTAGGATTAAGCATTTAACCGAGGAGAACAAAAAACTGAAGGAAGCCTATGTAACCATCCAAGCTAAAGCTGAACAGGAGGAAGAATTTATTAGTAATACGTTGTTGAAACAAATTGAAGCTCTTAAAAAGGAGAAAGAGATCATTGCTCTCAAATATGAGCAAGAAGAAGAATGTCTAACCAATGATTTAAGCCGAAAGCTGAACCAACTGTTGGCTGAGAAGAAGGAATTTGAAAAGACACATCAACACGAAAATGGTGTTCTAATTGCAAAATTGATGGGAAAAATAGAGAAATTGGAAAGTGAAACTAACCAGAAACAACAAAGCTTAGAGCAATTAAGGAGAGAAAAGGTTGAACTTGAGAATACGTTGGAACAAGAGCAGGAAGCTTTAGTCAATAAATTGTGGAAAAGGATGGATAAATTAGAGGAGGAGAAGAAAAATTTACAAATGAAATTGGAAGTAAAATGAGAATCTCTTTTTTCACAATATCTATTTTGTAAAACTCTTTCTCTTTTTTTGATTTTTTTCCTCAACTACCCTTTTCCGAACCCTTTCACACTCTATCTTTCGCTATCTTTGCTCTTTCCTCTCTTTCTATCTTTCGTTCCTCTCACACCACAGACTTATGAATTCTTGTACTGATTCAACACATGGCTGATGAAAATTTCAATCTAACTTAATATCGTGTCGCGCAATCAGCAGCTATTTACTCTTCAACAACCATTACCAACAAATTTTCTCAGTGTTCATGTGAATGTACTGTTATTTGTCGATTGAGACAAACAAAAAACAAAAACGCTGTATTCATTATGGAAAAAAGTTTTCTTTTCTCTTTTTTTGCAAAAAGACTGAATCGTTAAAATTTACATTAATCTTCACTCTGTTCTTCATCACTATGTTTACTACTATTACTGCTATCTTTATTCTCATCTGTTGATTCATTCGTCGTAGTTGGAGCTTCAGTAATTTGTTTCTTCCATTTCTTGGCTAGCTCCAGTAGTCTCATATGAGGTTTAACACTATCATCGTCTGGGAAAATATAATCCACATATTCCTCCCAACCGCCATCTGATCCATCGTCATTTGTGATCTTTCGTCTCTTTTTAACCTTCTTTGGCATCAATGATTCGACTTGTTGTTTAGTTCTTTCATCACCGTGTTCTGCTTCGAATTCTTGCCATGCTTCGAGAAGCATGAGACGAGCTTCTTTTTCCTCGTTATCGGTTAACGCTTTATTGGCTCTTTCAAAGACGGTTCTTGCTTGAGCAATGTTACTGTCACTTATTGTCTCATCACTTGAAGCTAAAAGCTCGAATTTTGCAAAACTGATCCAAACTTTGACGTGTTTAGTTCTTTCCAATAATCTTTCATATAAATTTCGAGCATTTTCAAATTCTTCTTGATCAACTTCGAAATCAATGTAAGACTTCCAAATTACTTCTGGCATATCCAATCTATCTTGAGAAATTGCAATCTCGTAGATTTTTCGAGCTCTTTCGTATTCACCGAGTGCAGTTTCCAGTTCAGCAAATCTTAACCATGAGGAACAGTTTTCTGGACAGAATTCGAGTAATTTTTGGTATAATGTTCGACAACGATCAAATTCTCTTAGTTGTAATTCTATTTCAACATATTCGCGGAAAAGTTTATCTTTTGGACATAGACCAATAGATGTCCCCAATATTTTACGAGCTGCTTGAAGATTTTTGCGCCTTATTTCAAACTTAGCAGCCATAACCCAAAATTTGGCAAAGGTAAAAGATTTATGAGGTATTAGACGTAAACAAAATTGATAAACTTCATGAGCTCGTTCCAAATCTTCAGCAGTTAACTCTTCGAAGATAGCATAATAAATCCACAGATAAATGTACCGTCGCCAGAAACGTTTCTCTCGTTTAAGTGGAATGTTGGCCACAGCTCTTTCATATATCCTTCTAATGGCTTCAATATCTCCTTCTCCTTCAACAAGTCGGATATAATCAAACCAAGTATCATAGTTGTGTGAATTTTCTTGCAAGTCTTGTTCATATTTAAATTTGCGTTTATTCATTATAACATCTTCTATTCCTTCTCGGTCACCATATTTCTTCTCGTAGATAGTATATTGTTTGAATAGTTCTTGAGATTCTTCTCGGGGAAGCTTTTCTAAGGCAAATCTGTAGATAGCTTTGACTCTTTCGTGTTCCTTTTGGCGTTCTTCAAACTTAGCAAAAGCTAGAAGCAAAGTTTCATCCATGTTTTCATCACCAAAATATTCCACTGCTTTTTCATAAATTTCACGAGCATTGCTGACAAAACCGTTACGCTCCTCGAACTTTGCAAATCTGATCCAGTTCTTTATCTCGGGATGAACTGTTATGAATCGTGTGTAAATAGTTCGAGCTAAATCTAATTCTTTGTACCTAACTTCAAAATTAATGTAAGTTAACCAGGCTTGTTCTTCCGGTTTCCAAGCCATCCATCTTTCAAAAACTAATCGACAACCTGGAACGTTACCCAACATTTCTTCCATGTAAGTATATTTGTACCAAAATTGGTTACATCTAGGCAATAATCGTACAGCTCGGTCAAAAACATTCCTTGCATGGTTCACTTGGCGATTTTTCATTTCCATTTCAGCATAACGAAGCCACAAGGTAATGCATCGTGGATCCACATCCAAGGCTCTCTCGTAAACAGAGCGAGCTCGCTGGATCTCTTGTTGACTGTGTTCCCATTCAGCATACTTAATCCAATTAGCTATGGAAAGTCGATTCTTTCTTATATTATCTTCAAATGCTTTCCTTTTTCGCAATTGATACTCAGCTAATTCTTCAGGATCAGATATCTTTTGTTTTGGTGGCTAAAGATAGAAGAGAAATGTAAAATTTTAATTCAATGTAAACACAACTCTTTCATGAAGCATTAATTTAAGGTTCAAAGTAACCAATAAAAAGTCAAGCTGAAAATTAAATTATTACGATTCAATAGTTGTATAAACTTACCGGTGGTAATATCTCCAAGTCTCTTTCCTTGGCTTCTCTAATCAACTGTTCAGCAGTGATTTGTATTTCAGCGGGTGTCTTATCCTTCACTTTGGTCTTGGCAGCTTTGCCCTTCAATGTAGAAGCCATTTTGATATATTAACAGTAAAATAAATATATAATAAAATGAGTCTGATGAAAAATTTATCCAAAATAACAACAACAAATGCTAGTAACAAATAAAAAAGACAGCAGTGATTCAAAATAACCACTAAAATAGAGAAATGTTGTTTTGTTGTTTATTCTAGTACCAATCATTAACGAAAGATGACGCTTTAATCAACGTATGAAAAAATGTATTTTTGGATGGAAATTTGAAATGAAACTTAATTTTTAATTGAAATCTGAAGAGAGGTTAAAGTAATTAAGCCCAACAAAATAAATTTACTTTTAATTACTCTTAATCATCCCATGTTGTTTCTCATTTTCTGAGAGAAACATAATTTATCCTCATAAAACGATTCTCTGTACTAAAAAGTGAATTGACAAGACCATGTTTTTTTTTCATTTCAAACTTGAAACTTCAAAGTCAATAAGAAAATATGAAAATTAAATTTTCAATAAAATATTAATGCATTAACTGAATTTAATCATTATTCCAATAAACAGAGAAATAATAAAATCAAATAAAAAAAGGTAGAAGCAAAAGAGCCCACAACTCAGTGCATTTGTTATGAATGTTGTAAAAGTGAAAACAGTGAATCAACATTTGAAACACAGCTCAAGGGTTAACCAATGATAATCGTCAGAAACATATAAAGACTTAATAATAATAATCAACCAACTTAATCATACATAAATAAAATGGTTACATTGAATGGTAAAAAACATAAAGACCAGGTTGATGATTTGAATTTGTACAATTACAAACAGTTTGCCGTTTAAGGCAGCAATTCACCCTCATGTCTTTTAAACAGCAAAGATATTAAACTGTCAACTATTTATATTTAACTGTGAGCCATATTAATCTGTATAAAGTGATTATTTACTTCGAAATCAATAGAGTTCAATATCCAAGGTGATTCCAAATGAGCGCGTTCCAAGGCATAAAAAAATGTAAAAAGAGGCCAGAATTGGATATTATAATGATGGTTTATTCTGATGGTGAAGATGATTAAAATCCTTGTAAATAGTATTGAGACCAAAATTTGAAGTGCAATACGGCAAAGCGAGGAGAAGACAGATTTCCCCAAATTATCCTTAAGATATTTTTGGTTTCTCTAGCCAATGATTTATCATGTAATTTCATCAAATCCATAATCATTTCTATGCTTGATTCAACATCACCATTTGTCGATAATCAAAAGAAAACCTTGATAGAAGAAAAAGAAAAAAAGAAATAAGAAAATGAAGATAATTCAGAGTTGGGAGTTTTGCGTCTTCTTCACTTTGGTTTACTTGTATTTAGCAAGGTGATTATGGTTGAAGTAAATATTGGTAAGCTGTTTTTTAACAGCTTTACCATCCAAAAACAGATTATGGAACAATTATCAACATTTATATGATGATTGAACAAGTTATCAATGATCCAAACGAAACTCCGGTTGCCAATGTTTTTTGATTGACTTTTAGACTGAAATCTGATTAAAGTATAACAGCAAATATTTTTCCAGTAAGCTTTTCCCATCCAGTTGAGACCAAAAGTTATTTAAAAACTCAATTATTTTCATTGTCTCTTCCTCAGGGCATATAGCTTTCAATAATACTGCAATATAATATTTAATCAACACATTTATTACTGCATGTATTAATAATAAAGATATTAAAGTGTTCAAGACTGTTTTTTTGTCACATTTTCCGATGATAACGTTTTTTATGCTTTACCAACCATTTATATTAAATGCATGCAACTAGAACATAATCAATCTTTGATTATGTTTTCATTTCCCATTAACCATGAGAAATGGAAACTTAAATTCATTATTTAATATAAAATAGCCGATAATCAGATGACAATCAAACAGTCGAATGAAAAACAAAAACAAAAACAATGTAATCAATACATCGATGGTAATCACAATCCAATTTCTTGGCTTGTAACTTGTTTTTACTCAACACTTGATCTTGGATCAAACCTTGATTATTGAATCAACTAACCTCATGTAATATAATGAATCGTTGACATTAAACTGTATCATGGAAAGCAAGTGAATAATGGAATGTCCGAAACTTGGAATAGCCACAGCAGTCAATAGTGATTGTAATGTCCTTAACCTGTTTAAATAAATTAAAATATTGAAAGGTTAGTAATACTTCAACAATTGTCTCATTTGATAATACAATACAAAATAGTGATTGACATTGCCTTGGTTTCGCGAAATCAATCAATCAATGCATATTCATGTAAATGATATTAATCTCAATTGGTTAATCTTTGTTGATTGATTCACAGCTTTTAAATTAATTCAACTTTAAATCTTGTGATAGCAAGAAATTTAATTAAATATTAAACTGCTTCATTTGCAACATCAAGTTTGATATACAGGGTGTTCAAAAATTGTTTTGGAACTTTTTTTTGGAATATCTTTTGAGAAAATTATTTCTTAATCCTAATTTTGGTTTATAGTTGATCCATAACGAAAAGGTAATTATCTGAAACATGTTCGAAATTCTAAGCCCTTGCATACGGATTCACACAGGGAAAATCACTCTTTGATAGCCTCAATAGCGCTTTCCCTCCATAAACTCAATCGTTGATTGATTCGATGACGTTGATATGCTTTTGCTTTCTAGAGGGATTTCATGTCTTTTGGTGATAATTTGATGCTTTTGGAGGCTTTTTCTGATTGAGTAATGCTATTTGAAAAAATATGCATTATATTAGCATGCAAATCACCGAAATTTTTTTGTAAAATTTTTTGTGTTTGAATGGCTTGAAAATTTACCTTTGATCTAGAAATCAAGAAAATAAAAATAAAAATCAAATGGCATTCATATTTTTGCTTAGAATCCAAAAAAAAGTTCCAAAACAATTTTTGAACACCCTGTAAATATTTCACTAGTTTAAGAGTAAAGACGGATTATCAAATACCAATCAAGCTAATTTACAAGTTTAATGGTACAATATTAGTTTTTTTTCAATTTTAACTCAGTAATCGTCTTGCGATAATCGGTGTAATGATTAACATAATTAGAATGATGATGTTAATCATGACTTTGATAGTGATGATTATCGTTTAAAGACAAAAAACAACAAAACAAGTCAATCTAGAGTTAAACGTTTACAAGGTTAATCTGTTTCATTTGATAGTTAAATCAAGTCAAAATTGGAATCAAGTTAACCAAGAAATATAATTAACCTGTCAATTCAATTATAAATCAATTGTTGGCTCAAGATTGTTTTCTTGTTTCACTAAACACTTACAATTTGAATATTTTCTCGCCTTGATTGGCCATTAAATTTTCTCTAAATAACTGAATCCTGGTCAATATTGACTTGTGTTTAATGCTATCCAATAAACACTATCTTTTAGGGACAAAACTGACCATTTATTGTTTTCTGAATAATGATATTCTCGATAACTATTTTTGAAATTGAGAATAAAAATGATTTGATTTGATATGGAAATGTTCAGACCTTTTGTGAATCCATCCATTTGTTAGGTTAAATGATAAATGTTTGAGATTGCTTGCTTTACAGTTTGTACCTGACATGATAATGAGTAGTTAATTTATATTAATATGGTGAAACTATTAATAGTAAATAAAAAGAAAAGGTAAATAAAAATAAAAAAAGGTTATAAATACCTGACTTTACCCTTAATGGGTTAGATTTATATTTATTCATACTTACATGAATGCAAGTATTGAACACGCCTTGCAAGGAAATTTATTAGAATTGAGAATGATGATGAGAATGATTAAATTGATTATTAGGATGCTGATGGTGATCATCGTGATAATCAACTTGATTAAGATGAACAATTTAAAAAGTAATAGCAGAGGTAAAGAAAAGGTTCATTCATTGACATTGAAATGCAACAGCAATAAGACATTAGATCAATGATCAGTAAACGATGTTTATCAATCTGATAATTGATGATCAGGTTTTGTGTTGATCATGTAAAAATTAAAGATATCTGAATGATTGAATCAAGCCATCCTTGGTCATTTCCATTCTGGTTAGTCTTTTTTCGTGTGAGATCAATTTAACGATTGTTTCAACTGGATAAAAATTTGACAATAAATTAACTGCAATAATTGGAAATAGCAATTTAAAATGCAATTTTGTGGTGAAAGTTTAAAATCATCGGATCGGGTAAACATGTTCATCAACCATTTCATTAATCAATCCAACGTTACTTTTGCTTTCTTATTTATTGTTTCCAAGACATCAAAATTATTACGCTATAATTCAGATTGTTAATTGTTATCATTCCGGTGGAAAACAAATTGTAAGGCGAAGAGGTTAACCAACGTCACCAGGATTTTTGTAATTAGATTTTTGTCTTTGTTTATTTTCCTTCTGATTTTAAATCTGCTTCTTTTTGGGAAAACCATCATCATCGTCATCATCAGTTTACAATTTTGACAGGACAACACACAAAACTCTTCATCACATGATGATAAATCTTTGGATGCTTTCGTGTTTCCCTTTCTTCCTTTCAACTTGCAATGTGAACCGGAAACTTGATACTTTCATTTATCTTTCCATCTGAATGAATAAATCAAACTTAAAGTTCATCGAGACTGTTTCACATTGAGCTAGAAAAAAAAGAGAAAGAATTCATGTTAAATTTTTTCTTGGAATTGAAATTAATGTGAAATCTTAACTGCCAAAAAAGACAATCAAAATTTCATAATATAATCACAGAAAAAGCAACATTTACTTGCACTATTGTTGTGGCTACTTGTGTAGTTAGATTTATGGTGGCACTGGGAAAATCCTAGTTCCCAACTCAGCTCTTCTCATTCGCCTTTGTTTCAATTGAATTACTTGATTAACTTCAAATTGATAGCAAAAAGGTGGAAGTACTGAGGGAAAATCTGTGCATTTTAGACGTAAACGTGGGCGGGAGTTGAACAGTTGCGGGAACCGATTGAATTCAGCCTTGAATTATCCAGAGTCCAACAATGGAACCAGAATCCTGAAGATTGTCCCTTTTCCAAGCCTTCATTGTCAAGTTTGCCAATTGGTTTGAAAATTTGTATGATGCTTTATACATTCAGGGCCTGAAATAGCAAGAAAAAATTATCAAGCAATTATTAAATTCTTTGAGAAAGTTTTAAAATTGTAAGATTGATGCTTTACACACAAGTTTAGAATTTAAATTCTTGAATTCTGTATTTGCATGCAAAAAAGCATACTTATCCAACGTAAAATGCACATGAATTGGAAAGCCATGTGAAAAGCCAAAATATAAGCGTAAAAGCGGAAAAATTGTGAACGTTCTGATTAGATTTGGTTTACTCCACTTTGATCTGGTCTAGTTTAGAGATTCATCAAGAAATTTATCAAGTTTCCGCCTTATTTTGCCAAATTTAACAGGCATAAGTTGACTGACAAGTTGACTTAATGATGATGATAATTATGCAGCAGAAAAAAAGATATTCAGTGATTATTTACTTCTAATGCTGGCATAATGCTTTATTGTGCTGGATGCCATCAATGTCCTTCCATCTTCATCGCCATTATGGTTTCTTGATTGTTGAACACTTGTTTGAACACCTGTTTCGCAAATAGTATGGTTAAACATAATTTGGAGTTTGAAATTATATTGTTGTAATATCAAAATTGGAGCCAAAAATGTAAGTCTGATGATGTTTACTGTTGGCGATGAACATAACGAGATGTGACCATCATGTGGTAAGTATCAAGAAAGATGTTTGACTGGATCTAATGGCGCCAACCAAGTTATTTACATTAAATATTGATGTGCAACTCTTTTTTTCTCTGCAATTTGAAAGCAATAGATGGAAAGATGGAGATGGGTTTTTCAAGGTGATGAGAATAATGAAGAAAAGGAAAGGTGACGTAAATAGATTAAAAGAAGATGAAGAAAAAAGTTAGTCTTAAACAATTTTTGTTACTTTACTCAAAATGAAAAAAGGTAGTACGATGATTGCTCGTGTAATTGGGAAAAGTGAAAAAAAAGTTTGTTAATGATACTTACTAGAGGTAAGAATTTTGATGATATTTATCAGGAGAAGAGAAAGATGAGACCAGGAACACATGATGCTGCTGATGATTGAAATTATAATTCGTTCAACTCTTCATCTATCCTTGATAAAGTCTCATTAGCTTTTATCCGATTAAAGGTTATAACCCAGGACATAATATTGACCATTATGATTAGGTTCAGACTGTTGATTATTGGAGAGGTAAACACCATTAGAGAGTGAAACATAGAGAGATATCAAGATTAATGAAAAACGGATGGTAATATAACAATTATAAAGAATTGAAAGCTTCACTGATTTACATAATTCAACAGGATTATACCATTAAGCTTTTAAGTTAGCAACTCCAAGGGGTCAATCATTGATTAAAAAAGGGAAAATTATCAGTGTTTGTTTAATTATTCAATTTTTTCGTAAGATGGCGATGAGAACAATGGGTTTAAAACAAAGATAAGTTGGTCTTTGGTTTAAAATTTAATATTTTTTTATAATGTTTTAGTTTTAATCAAATTCAATTCAACCAAATTCAACAATTTTTTGATTTATTTGCATGTTCAAGTGAAATTTAAATTCCTCTGTGCCCGATAGGTCATTAAATAGTTGGATTTTTCATTTATTCATGGATAAAAACAATCGAGTAAATCTGCTTCTCTATCTCTAAGGAACGGAATGACAAGGAAAAACTTTACCAGAATTAAGCCAAATAATAAGGTAACAAATTGACACTTTGGACTGTTTTTTTTTCTAGAGAAAGTGGTCAATCAAACCGACCCATTGGTTTCAATCAATACTCTGAAATTTGGTTTTAATTGTTCTAAATTCGTTAAATTCAAAGGTATTTTTCAAAGACAGTAAACTTGAGTGTATCTATTGGATCTACTTCAGGATTCATTAGTTTGGATATTGGTATCTTTAATCTTGTTATCGATTGTAAAATAGTCAATTAGCTTTTGAAAAGACCAACCATTATTAATGTTAACTATTCAATTACAAGTTGAATATTAATTTTTTTTCTATCTTTATGTATGATATTTAATTTCATTTAATTTCATGCCATTGAATTGTGATTTATTGTAATACATTAGTCCAACCTTTAAGTCAAATCATCTTTAATTTTACAAGGAGATATTATTTGTTGACCATCATCTTTGGCTCTTCTTCACCGTTACTGATATCATTGGCTATAAATTTGTTTACCCATATGCTAATGATAAATTCACCATTCTCACCAGGAAACTAATTATACCTTTCATCAAAATCACCGGCAACTGACCAGTTTCTGTTAAGTGAATAGATGGTAAACAAAATCATCAGCCATTATCAAAATGATTAATGGAATCGAGTGATTATACAGAATCATCTTCATTTTTTGCCGTTTACCACAGACTCAGAGAAAAAAATTGCAGTAATAACAGCAATTAGAACTCAATGTTTTTCTCTTTATCTGTTTATTTCTTAACCATTTTCAAGTTGGTTTTAATTATAGTGATATGACATTAATTTCAATGTTTATCCATTTGAAATGTTCATCAAATTGTTTACCAATTGTGTGTGTATATATAAAAACGAGGCGAATCTTCAGTTCATTTGTCTATTCTCTATTTCAATGGGATTTATCTAATTACTGAAATTATTCTGACAACATGAAAATGTAATTAGAAAAAATTTGTTAACCTTACAATGTGGCAATATTTACAGATTAATTACAGTAATAGAGTAATAAGGCAACATTGAAATGAAGAGGCCAACATTGCCTACAATATTCAAACGTTGAAATTGAAGGTTAATAAACGTTAGAAGGTGAATGTTAATTATTGTAAAAATTAAACCTAAATGAGATGATAACAGGTTGAATACCTGCATATTTAGACTCAAGCTTACAATCAAATCTGGTAACAAATCGTAATTGATTAACCTGACCAATCCACCAAACATAGCGTCGGAAAGATGCGAAACAATTGACTAATACAGAAAAAATTTACTGCACATTAAAGTTAAATGACGGGAAAACTGGCAAAATTTAACATGATAAGTGCACTTAAAAATCCATTATCATTTGAAATTTTAATTACATAACAACTGAGGGATTTTTTGACTGGGTTTTTCACCTAAGCATTAAATTTAATTCATTAGGAATGATTGAACACGTGAAAATTGAGTAAATCTTTTTGTTTTCATTAATTAATTGGCTAGTAAACAGAGAGACATCAACAGGTATTGTTAACCAGAAATTTTCAATAAGACTGATGAAGATACCAGAAGATTCTGGTTAAAAGGAATCAAGAATCAACCTTTAAAGTTGTTTCTCCACCTACACTGTATTTTTGAATACAGATAGTCAATCAAATAACAAAAAATGAAGGTTGATTAATGATTTAGTACACTTGAGTAATACAATTTTGATTATCATTACATTGGCGGTATTTATATTTGAAAACATTCAAAGAATGAGGATGAAAATGTTTACCAGAGATTCTTTGCTTCTTTAACCCAAAGTGAAACTAAATCATTTCAAGGATTTCTATTAATAAATATGTATATTATTGTTATTGCCTAGAAGGGATTCTTACTCAATAAGGATTGTTAATTGTCCTGCGATAATTTAATGTGACATGATGATATGACTATCAAATTAAGTATGAATACATGAATGATTAACTGATGCGTTAAGAGAAAGGCTGAACAATATTTTTGTTTCATATTATCGATCAAAATGATGATTAAACTGGATTTTCTTAGTTTTTTTTCTTTGCTCATTCCTCTGGACTTATCTTTCACCATTATCATCATCATAATCAGTTAATCAATCAGATCTTTTTAAAGTCAGATGATCGAAAGTAAGCTCACAGATTATTTTCGATATTAATGGGGGAATCAGTGAAAAAGGCAAGAATCAAGAAATGAGGATAATTTAGTTAATCTAGTGACACTTTTGGGTTTCTCTTACCTTCTGTGGCTGGCTTCAATCAATCAACATCAATCATGGCGATCACTAAATTCAATTAACATGTAGCTTGATAGCTTAAAATAACCAGCAAATCAAAATGTTTAGACCATTTGGATTAGATAAACAATGAGACAAAGTGTAACCTTTTGTTACCTTGTTTCAGTTGAAATCAATGATAGTTTAACCTATGACTGGCAAAGAAACGGAAAATTGTGAGAAAAGAAAAATTGAATTTCTTTGTTTTTAACTTTTCATTAATTAATGTTTAGTTATGTTTCAACCTCTGACTGGTAAAAACCAAAAAGTCTGTTGAAACCTTTTGTAATGTTAACCGTTTGAATTGTAAATCTTTTGGTTTACTTAAGTAAACCAAACTCTAATAGTCTTTACCATCTTTCGCTTTATATCACAAACTTTAGTGATCATAATGGATAAGTCCATTGAAAATAAAGAGAAATTTTTTGCCTCTTTGGATTTGTATCCAAAAAATATAAAAAAAGACAAAAAAACACCTCATGATGACGATGAGAAAGATAATTGCTTGGTGATTTTGGAAAGGTTACCATTGATTATACCAATGGCTCATGCAGATTCAATAGATGAGGATAAGTCGCATGAGGAAAATGAGATGAATGTTCAGATCGAGTTTGAAAATATTGAGGAAAAAGGAGATGAAAATGGTGGCCAAAATGATTACCGAAATGACCAGGATAAGTCCAGAAATTATAAAGACAAAGTCATTTATTTCATCAAAGATTTAACCACTGGACTAAGCGTCTCAAAAAATGAAGAAAAGGCCATTTATAAAAAATATATGACAGGATCTGGCCGCAACTATAGTTGTGTTTTGCACTCAAATTGTGTTTGCAAAAATAAACTGAAAATCGATTCTGTAGAAAATCATCTTTCCCCAAATTTTTTTAAAATCAATTGTCCCATTACTAATTGTAATTCATCCTTTGGTGTTGTTACCAATTTTAAAAATCATCTTAGAAAAGTTCATGACAATTGTTGAGACTTATCCATAAGAAAAAATGATAAAATCATTTACTTCATTATTGTTTGAATAAATAAAAAAATTCATAGTTTCTTCGACTGTTGACCACTTTATTTGGATACCTTCGGATTAGCCTCATTTGTGATTAAAACTGTGAACTTCAAAAGTAAGAATGTTTTCAACATTTACATCAATCTTAATGAATATCTCCAGATCCAACTTGTGATCAGTAGAAATCAAATTTTATCAGTTTTCATATCTCAAAAAATCTAATCCCACTCTGATCTACCAGATCCTTTTCATCGTTTGATTGAATTTCTTAAAATGTGCCAATCTTTGGAAAGTGGAGAATATATTTTTCCAGTTGTCTTTGTTTTATTGATAGATTCAGTCTTCCATTTGATTTCTGTTTTTAATTGTTACTATTTAAAGTTTATTTTACCTGTTTGACTGCAAACAGCTTTTGTCTTTTTACCTGAAATCTCCCGAATTTAACTGGTAACCCGTGAAAACCATAATGTCTACCGGATTTTTATATTGTTGATGGCTATTGTCTCTTTGTTTCATGTGAATCTTTTTCGCTTGATCAGACACAGGAATAGATCCAAATCTCACAGATCTTTGAGCTGTTGACTTTTTTCTGGTAAGTCTTTTATTCAACCTATGACCAGAAAAAATAGTCAAGTATTTAACCCGTTTCATGGTCTTATCATTAAGCCTTAATCCTTAGTCTTATAAAGTCATTATCCTTAAGCACTTCTTGTCGATGCAATTGTTTGGACTTCCATTACTCATTAATCCTTAACCATTAAAATCACTTAAAACACAATTTATAAGGTTAATCACATTGGTTCATTGTATCAATCACTGATTTATTGGGTTAAACTGTGTACTCGTGTATATTTAATCGCAAACTGTTGAACCTTTTACAGTATATATTATAACATTTGTTGATTATCTGATGATAGGTTTATTATAAACTCATTTCTCAGTATTTTTATTATTAGACAGAATTATCAATCAAAATTTGCTTTCCTCTCTTATTCAATTTTCAAGTTCAATGTTCATAGCAGATTGATTTAAATCAGCAATCAATCTTAATTTAGAAGACCAGAATGCAATCTATTAAAAAATAATCGTCTAATCATTGTAAATTCACCGTCAATTACCAATTAGAAAGATAATTGTTAACTAAAGCCAGTTAACTGTAATGTCAATTTCATTGATTATTGTTAACACAAGTTCAAAGGATTGAAACCATGAAAGATTTAAAATGAATTCAGTTGAAGTAAAATTACCGTATCGACGCGTATTATAGCGCGGCGCTTTAAAATGCGAATTCTCATTTATAAGCGCAAAGTTTATTCATTAGAAGCGCTTGGGGGCTAATAATCGAGTCTCTGAACTTTACAATTAAACCCGGTTTTAAGCGTCTTTTAGATAGGTAAAATAGTAAAAAATCGTTCAATTCGGTATAAAATAAAACACTTGACTTGTTGAGAATCGGTACGTGAATCCATAATCGGTTAGATAATTTTAAACCACTGTTTAATTTTTTAAACCTAACAAAAAAATGTGTTTTTCATTTCGAATTGACTATCAAAGTATTCTCTTATAATCGGTTCATTTGACAATTTTTCTAAAAAACCGCCTTTAGACTGACGCGTGTGCATATGTAAAAGTGCGCTTATACAATCGATCACTCACTTTTAAGCACAGCGCCATAATACGCGTCGATACGGTAATCAAACACTAATAAAAAGCAAACCAATAAAATGAAGAGTTTTATCAAAGCATGAAACCAAAAATGAAATTGAAAAATGACTTTCATTTGCGATATTCATTATCATGTCATGATGATAACAAAGTTACAAAGTTGAGCTTTTAATTTTCATGGCAAAAAAAAGAGACAAATTAAAATTAATTTCCAGAAGTAATATAAGAAGCAATTAGGAAGTAAAAACAAATCTCAAAGGTAAAAGGATAAAATTTTGTTCCAATTTAAATGTTATGTTATGTTTTACCATTCAATTAATCAAGTGAAAAAAGAAAGTTATTAATTCTCTGATATAACGATTACCCGAATAAATTGTAATCAAAATTATCATCAACATGTTATGTAATAATACAAATGAAAACAGATTGGTAAACAATTTACCGGTTAATTTTGACCAATACCTGCAAGATTGACGTTTTAAAGTGTATTTGCAAATGTAAAAAACCCAAAAGTATTACAAGCCCAATTAGTGTAAATTATTACCATGTTGACTCGTTTTATACCTTTTTTTGTTGTTGCTGTTGATTCGTAATGCGAAAAAGTGTTTATAGTAAATATTATTTTGGTATAGAAAGAGTTAATATCACAATAATTAATCTAAAAAAGGGTTTACGTAGTTTTTTACTCACCAAGATTGAAGACAACAAGAAGCAAGGTAAAAGCATGAACATCATTATGACGCATAACCAGCCCATTGAAAAATAACATGGATTTTTGAGTTACAAAACATTGTGGGTGAAAAGCTGGTTCAGGGTTATGTTTACATCGGCAAACAGATTTAGGAATGATAAAGCTCAAAGTTATTCACAATTATTACCATCAAAAAGCGTCAATCAACAGAAAAAAACAGGAAAATCTAAACAATAATTCACTCAGAATTGGTCTTCTTGATCAATTTAATTTCTTGTCTCTTCAATGTCTATTCATCATGTTAAATATCTTTCTTTTTTCGTTTTATTTAATCGAGAAATCGAAAGCTCTGAGAAAAGCGAGAAATATAAAAAAGGTTCATACAAAAACTTACATTTTAGCTCCTCCTTAATACCAGCACCAGAAAACGGTTTGTGTTTAAAAAGGGTAAAATCTTAACTGAAGGATTCAATAGACAATCAAACATGAGAAATATCATCATAGTTGAAAGTAAACAATAATCAGTAACAAAATCTTTTCTCTTTACGCCATCTTTGCCAAAGGAAACAGAAATCTTATCTTTCTTTGGCGCTCTTTCCTTCTACAGTCAGAAGACACAAGAAATTAACCAATTTTTCTTGAAATCTTTATTTCTTTTCGTTAACTTGTCCCATTTTAATTGCTATTTTGGTCACCTTTTTTCCTGGTAAACTCTCTGTTAAATTGTGAAATTTAAATTGTTTATTCGTATTGTGATTGTTACATTTTATGCTGTTCACATAGTTTTTGAGTGACTTGTTAAATTGGGTCTTTCCCTACAACATACATCTTCTCGTTTACACTGACAACACCAGATTAACATTGGAAACGTTTACATAGTGGTGTTGCTGTTTGAATTTGTGCTTCGTAAATTGAAATATACATGTCTTGGTGATAGGTCAATTTCTCAACTCAAAGTCAAGTTTAATTCTACTTTTAGCTTGAAAAGCGAGTAAAAGAGAGAAAAAGAGAAACAGTGAGCAAGAGAGCGAATGATATTTGGGAACTTGTTTAACAGGAACCATCATCATTATCAGAAACAACTTGATTCAGTCTCATTTTATCTCCTCTTGATTTGGAAAAACTTTTCTTACTTGTTACTTCTAATCTAACCTCGTCGAAGTTGATCAACAGTAAACTTGATCCCGTTCATTTGAGAGTTCAAGTTCATCTCTTTCTTTGTCAGTCTGATCATCACCAGCTTCTTCTTATTTTTCAAGTTATGTGAACTTTTCTTCCTTTTTCTTCTTCTTCTTCCTTATGATTTTAACTCTATCCAAGGGAATCCAAACCATAACAACAAATAATCAACAGTAACTTGAATTACTACTTCCGTCTTTTAATTTGACTTTTTGAGGTCCATCGATTAACCATCAGCTACAAATTTAGTTATTTACCATTTTCACTTCATTTAACCTTGGACTTTGCTTGGCATCAAGTCAATCATCATCTTGTTGATTCATCTTACACTTTAAAAATTGTATCTTCACCAAAAACATCATGAGATTCATTGGAGCCATTGTGATTTTATCGCTTTTAATTAACTTTTCCCTCTCATTAAGTATTCGTAAACATGTCAACAAATACAATTCAATTCCTTCAGATGAAATTGATCTCTGGTTATCAGATCACTTGTCGGAAACACCAAAAATTAACGAACCTCCTTCATCATTTGTAAAACAAGATGACGATGAAAAAACAATCAACAATAAAAGTGATGGTGATAGTGATGGTGAAAGTAAAGACTTTAGTAAATCATCATCATCAAATGCTCCTCGCCCAGTGATTACTTTGAAAAATTCAACTGAAGCAATTCCATTCACTCGAGTTGATAGCTCTGTAAAAATTGAAGGCTTCAACGAGGCAAATGGTTCCTCTGATAAAGTCGAAGAAGGTGTTGGTCCAGCAGTTGTCTTCGATTATGACTCTGAATATGCTGAAAGTGAAACAGGTTACTCACCATCATCCCAATCCTCATCCTCATCAGTTGGACCTGAAGATAACAGCTACGAAAATGGTGACCTTAAAATTGAAATAAGTGACCTTAAACCAGTTTATATTAAGCCACCAAGTGGTTTCAAGCCCGTTCTATATCCAAATCGTGAAATGGACGGAGTTCATCCAATTGCATCTGCATTTGACGATTATTCCGGAGCTTCATCATCTAATCAACCTAAAGTAACTTTACTACCACCTAAAGAACCTTACCCTTACCCTTATCCTTTCGGTCTTACCTCATGGTCTCTTGGAGGAATCCGTGGTATCCAGCGAGGAGGTTTCTGGGAGTCAATGGGATCAGATGCTGCCTTGGGTCTTCCAGTTCGTCCATTCAAAGGTAATCCTGTTTCGGTTTTAGAATGGATTAACCTTGATGGTTCATCCAAAGACAACAACAACTATAAACCACCTCTTCCTCCTCCATCAGTTTCCTCACCTGATTCAACATCCTCATTACAATCAGATTCAACACCGGATACCGATTTGTCAAATAGAGTTCCTCTTGCATCTTGGATGTTCGGTGGTGTTCGCCAACTTTCACCCTTCTGGCAAATGCGTCCAATGGTAATTGAAAAAGTTGAATATGTTCCATTCCAACCATCATCCTCACAATCGGCTCGTCCATCAAAATTATCCTCGGTTAATTCCTATTGGATTATATCTGATAATGAAGCAAACCCTGTTGAATGAACCACTCTAATCTATTCATCTTCTAAATACATATTCTATGTAATAATTGCTATAAACTATATAAGTCATTTCATTGGCTGAACACTCATACTTTGATCACCATGTTCATCATCATACCCATCGTCCTAATCATCTTCAAAAAGATATACTAGATGATAAACTTCGTTGCCATTATTTTGTTTGTTTTTCTCTTCAGAGGATTTCCCACCTCTCTTGAATTACATCCACCCCTATTTATTCGTTTACTTTCAAATTTAATCGTTAACCCTTTTCATTTTTCCTGAACCTTGCTCTTTAATATAAATTAACTTTGTGATGTTTTCTCATCGAATTTGTATCCTTCATTGACCATCATCACCTTCAAGGAAATCGAAATAAATTTATGATTCTTCGTTGTGAAAATATAAATAAATAAAAAACACGAAACAAATAAAACAATATAATAAATTGTTGATTTTTCTTTAACTGTCAATCTGCTTTCTATTAATATTAATATGTTTGTCAATCTACATCTTAACGAACCGTTGCAAATGAATAGGGAAAATAATGCATAGGAAGCAATTTGCGATTAAAAAAACTCTTAATAGAGTTGAAAATGAAAGATTATGCGGTTTTGTTTCAATTGAGTAACTAAATGCTTCTAAATTGAAGCTGATGAATAAGTTTTCTCAAGAATTTATTCTTAGATCTGAGTATCACATTTTAAGAGGATTCAATAGGAATATCTTCAGTCTTGGAAGTCAATATCTTCAGTTGATATAAATCAGCCTTGAAAAAATTTCATTCAACTCATAATTTGCCACTAATTTAATCATTAATGATAAGAATAAGGATCTAAAACTAAAAAAATTGAGCTTGTAGAAAAGCTATTAATACTTGGGCGACGGTTAATTTAGATCTTTTTCATTCGTTTTGTAAATTTGGTGGATTTTGCAAAAAATGCATAAGAAATGAGTCTTAATTATAAGTGTAAAAAGGGCTGAAAATTAATAAATATGGTAAAGTTATTAAATGAGAAATCTTCAATTGAACTAATGACGGCAAAGATGATTGATGAGAAATTGAGTTACAAAATAAAGACTGACCAGGTGCATAGTCATTCAACTTAATAGTGAGGGGAACAAATTGAGAGATTTTTTCTACCATTTTCATGATAAATGAAAAATTAAAGATGATGAGGATAAAGGGTAGAAAAAAGAACAAGGTGGAGACAGAATATACATCATGTATATCATCATTGAGTTGATTTCGATAAGAATTATAAGGGCTTTTCTTGTGTTGATAAAATTTAGTTCATGACGGCGTGTTGATGTTGAACTTGTTAGTTAAGAAAATGAACATGTTTTTGTTGATGATGATGATGATGATGGAAGAGGAAATTCAAGGTGGAAAAACGAGGTGATGGTGTATTGTTGTTAAATTTAGATGATGGTCAGAAGATTTTCAGGTGAAAGACATTAAAGTATAATGGGATTGTAGATTTAATGTTGACCATTTTCAATGACGAAGAAAATCATTAACTAGTTACGGTTACTTAAATATTGTCTTTTCCGGGCTCAACTCAACTGATGATGGTGATTAGGTTAAGAGTGATGAGCTCTTTGTCTTGATTTTTTTCCTCTCAAATAAAAACTACTTTTCTTTCATGAAAACAGTTGAGCACATTTAATAAATAAACATTTATGTAACTGATAATTTTGCTTTACATAATCAAAGACACTTTTTTCTAATGTTTCCAATGTTTCCAGCTTTATTGCTTTAAAATTTTCACTTCTTATTCAGTTGATTCACCCGAAATGAATTGTAAAGATGAGTTTTGCGATCGAAAATTAATTTGAATCAATCCAAGTCTTCAGGCCTAACTGGATGTGGTAATGGTATTATTGATTTTTTCAATTTATCCCTTGATAAAGCCTTACGCATATCTGAAAGTATAAAAGATATAAAGAGTTATCACAAAAAATAATTCGAAACTTAGACGGAAAAATAGTTTCAAAAATTATCTAACCATATGCATCTTCATCAGGATCTCCAATGTAATAGTCGATCACTCTCCGGTAAACACTGTATCCAAGTCTCGTATACATATCTACAGCCACTTTATTTGAGACGCGAACAAACAAATCAACAAAATATGCTTCTTTTCTGAAGTCAAACAAATGAAAGAAATTAATTTGTATCAAAGTTTAAAAAAATTATAATTGAAAGCATACTTTTCTGATATCTCTTCAAGTCCTCGCATCAGTTTAGCAGCAATACCTAATCGACGATAGACATGATCAACAGATAGGGCAGTAACATGACCTCTCCATGATTCGCCGGTGCCTTCAATTTTACCCATAACTGAAATGACATAACAAAATGAGAATAAAATCCAAAGAATAGCTAAAAGTTAACTTACTATAGCCAACAAGTTGACCATTAGGAGCTTCTACGACTTGAAAATATTCAGGCCAGTGGCCAATATATTGTAAATAAAATGATAGGCCATAAGTTTCCGTCCAAGGATCTAGATTACTAGGTGAATAAACAAAAGTATAGATATTAAAATACTGTCATCGCTAAAAATATAAATCACATGTGAAATAGAGAGGAAGAGAGAAAAAGAGAGAAAGAAAAACATTAACATAGACAAATTAGAGATTAACATAGAAACAGTCAAAAAGTCAACTTACATGTTGTTGTATTTGAAAAGATCTTCACATCTGAAAGGTCTGATATTGGTCATGATGACTGACAATTAAGTCCGGAACGGAGAAAAAGAAAGAAAGAGAAAAAAGAGTTAAAAGAAAAGAAAACGAGACAAGAGAGATTCCTGTGAGATATCCAAAATTATCGAGAAAACACTGAATAAACAAATAAACAACAACAAATGGAAACATGTGACAAGAAAAGAAATGCTCAATAGATGTCGCTATCAGTCAAACACATAAATGCGAAAATAAAATGGCGGAGAATAGCCTAGTTTCCCCTTTACTTTTCCCCCGTAAAGCAGTAAAGGAAGAAAGAATGTGAGTAAGAAAGAGAAAGTAGGAAGAGAAGTCCTTTCTTTTTCTCTTTGTCTGACATTTTGCGCCTTTCATTTGGTTTGAGCCTGAAAACCTTTTTATTTCTTGTTTCGCCCATTTTAACTAAATAATTTTTTTGTGATTTATCTTGGTTTTTTTTCTAATTTAATTTAATCTTGGTAACAATTTAAAAAATAATCGAGAAGGCTGTAAAGTTCAACCATGTCTAATAATATAGTTTGTGACGGTGGTGGCACTGAAGTTGAAAACATAACAGAAATACAAAATTATTTGCAATCTTTTAACAAGGAGATAGGTGAGACGACGGTTAGCGCCACTGAAGCTAATAACCAAACTACACAACCAACTTATTATACTATTGAAGCTTCTCAGGTAAATTAATTTCTTTATTAATCGCCAAAATTGAGTCCTTTGAATCATAGACAATCACCATATTTTAGTCTATTACTACCTCTTTATCTCCTCCCCCCTTTTCTGTCTTTTCATCATTGACTGCCCTGTATATCTATCAATGACTGTTATTACACCTTTACTGTTTATTTTTATTGTTTTTAGGTATTAACGCAAAATGGAGGTTCATCAACGGGTACAAATGTTGTTGCTACAGCCCCCGGTACTTCGAGTGATGGTACCGGGGCATTTCCCACTTTGGCTCTTGTCCCTGATGCTGTTGGAGGATATGTTCTCATCGTTCAACAGCCAGCTGGACAAGAACAGGTTTCTAGCGCTTCTCTGGTCTCAAGTGCTGGTGGTACCTTAGCTCTAACTCGAACTAGTGAGAGCGGTAAGTGCACTGTTATTCAATAAAAAATTGCAATTTATGGTAATTTATTTTTCGTTTCAATCCCTTACTGCAGAAGTCAAATCGGACCAAATCACAACTGATGACAGTTTGACTTTACCTTTTCAAGTTAAACAAGAGAGACTGGAAATAGAGAAACCAAATGATATTTCTGTATATGACTTCGATGAAGGTGAGATTGTCACACTGTTAATCAACGAACTATTGAACTTGATCGACCCATTTATCATATTTTCCTTTTTATAGTCAATCCACCTCCTAGCTCGGGTGCCATTGAGGAAGAGGAACCCGAAGAAATGCTTGATAATGATCAAGAAGACATGTTACCGCTGGAATCGGGAGACAAACAAAACAATGTTTTAGGTATTTTCATTTTGCCCTTCACTCACTATTCCAAGTCTCAAAATTTAATTTTGTCTTTTTTTCTTACTTTCAGCTACTCCAAAAAATAAGAGGCCCAAGAAAAGTCCAGCCACCACTGGAAAGAAGCATAAAATATCAACTCCTCAAACTCCATTGAATCCTAATTCACATATGTGTAACTATTGTAACTATGCTAGTAACAAACGTTATCTTTTGTCACGGCATATGAAATCTCACAGTGAAGAAAGGCCTCATAAATGTGGTATATGTGAACGAGGTTTCAAAACAATCGCATCTCTTCAAAATCACGTCAATACGCATACTGGTGTAAGGCCACACGGCTGTAAATATTGTGATGCAGCATTCACTACATCAGGTAATTTAGAATTAAATGATTACTTTATCATGAAATTGACATATTCTATTATTATTATCTAGGTGAACTCGTCAGACATGTTCGTTATCGACATACTCACGAGAAGCCTCATAGATGTCCTGAATGCGATTACGCCAGTGTTGAATTATCCAAATTAAAAAGACATATGAGATGTCATACAGGAGAACGGCCTTACCAGTGTCCCCATTGTACCTACGCCAGTCCTGATACCTATAAACTCAAAAGACATCTTCGAATTCATACTGGCGAGAAACCTTATGAATGTGATGTTTGTCACGCAAGATTCACCCAAAGTAACTCGCTTAAAGCGCATAAACTAATTCATAGCGGTAACAAGCCAGTCTTCAAGTGTGACCAATGTCCGACAACGTGTGGGCGTAAAACTGATTTAAGAATTCATGTCCAAAAATTACACACGAGTGACAAGCCTTTGACGTGTAAAAGATGCGATCAATCTTTTTCCGATAGATATTCATTTAAGATTCACCTAAAAAGTCATGAAGGAGAAAAATGTTTTAAATGTGACCTGTGTAATTATGCCAGTGTATCTGCCCGGCACTTGGAATCACACATGTTGATTCATACTGATCAGAAACCTTTCGAGTGTGACGAATGTGAACAATCTTTCCGACAAAAGCAACTCTTAAAACGGCATAAAAATTTGTACCACAATCCAGAGTACATCCCGCCACAGCCTAAGGAAAAAACGCATGAATGTCCTCATTGCACCAAAGCTTTTAGACACAAAGGTAATCTTATGAGGCATCTAGTTGTGCATGATCCCGATGCTTATAAAGATGCCAATTTTGATTCAAGTGGTAGAATGAATGACAGTCATCAGCTGATTGACGAAGAAAGTGACGAAAACTCTCAAATGGTTTTGCCAAACACGGATGAAGAGTCGTTAGAGCCACAGACTTTACAATTCACATTAGACCCTCAAACTCAACAAATTATTTCTGGTGACCAAGTTGTTGTATTTGAAGTGGTCCAAATCAATAATGAAGAGGAATCTAACTCGACTAGTTCGCATTCCTATGCAGCTGTCGATCAAAGTGCTGCCTCAACTGCTGTTGTACCTCCACCATTGGTGATTACAGAAAATTTCAAACCATCAAGGGATCAAAAACAAAAGGATGTTGCTGAATGTTTTGGCTTCAAAAACGACGATGAAGAAGATGAAGCGATACTTTCAATGCCCGCTGCTCATGCACAATGAAGCTAACTAGACACTGGAAATCTGTTCAAACCTTGTCTTACAAGTCAATATAATGTATTAGATGAAATTTACAACAGTATGTTAATCAATAAACATAGTCTAATGTTTATTGATACAACCGAGTCAGCATTATATTAAACTTGACGTTAAAATGACCATATATTGAGTTCAACATGTCTTATTAGAAACTGAAAAAGGGAAGAATGTTTTCTCATTAATATTATCTGAAAAAAATGTGACTCAAAAACCTTGCGATGAATTTTCGATTCAACAATCAATTTCGCTTTTCTAGATTTTCCGTTCTGATTGGTTCGTACATTGGCAATCTGGGGCTGAGAAATAAATTAAAATTCAACCTTTAAGCTCTTTAAATTAATTCATTTCAAAACCTTGAATCAATTTGAATTAAATTGCGAAAAAAATAAACTGCAACTTTAAATTTTCCAACAAGATTTTGAAACCATTGAAATTATTTTAAACTAGCTTAAAATCGAAGCTAAAATCCAAATTTCAATTCTTTCTCATTTGTTCAGTTTAAAAGAGGTATTTCTCACTAGAAAACGATAAACCGAAACAGAGCATTTGGCGAAAATTAGTTTCCACTTAAGTACAACTTTCGTTGATTCCCATGATGAAGAAACGAATGATTAACATTTTCTCATTCATCCAAATTCAGAAAGTCTGCATAATCTTGGGTCATTGATTTGGTTTGAAATTTCTTTAGCATAATCTCGATCGATCCTGAAGACGATACTTTTATAGCACTATATTTATGATTCAGAAAAATCTGAATACTTCATACCTCTTAATTCATTTTGCTTAATAGTTTGATCCAAAAGTTTCAAACTGCCAATTGTCAGTGTTTACAGTTTTTCAACTGAATTTGTTATTATTAATGAGCGTCCTCTACTGTTGAATTTTGTTCCTATGTGTCAATTTTTATGCCACAGATGAATCACGTTGGCTTTGATAATCTTGATCAATCAACTGATTCCTTTTTGATTTTGTTTATATTTTGAATTTAATTGTAAAACAATAAAATGACTTCCATACTTATGTTTTATCATCTTGTGGTTGCTTCGAGTGTAACATGTCTCAAATTTCTTTTAATGCCATCATAGTAAGTAAATTTTTGCTTTCTTCCTTTCTTTTTTTCTTTTTTATTTCTTCTTTACATTTGTTTACAAAGTTACCGGTAAATGAAAATATGCTATCAAAATTTATCACCTTCTCTTTTAATAATCTGTTATTCATTCTTTTCTAGTTATTCAACTGACTTTGAAGTTCACCGAAATTGGCTTGCCATCACCAACAACAAACCAATATCACAATGGTATACCGAGTCAACTTCACAATGGACTCTTGATTATCCACCTTTATTTGCTTGGTTTGAAATGGGTCTCTCTTTGGTTGCACCTTTCTTTGATCCAAAAATGCTTAGAATCAGCGCTAAACCGTATTCAAGTTATTATACGATATTTTTTCAACGTCTTACGGTTATCGTCACTGATTTGATTTTTGTTTACGCGGTCTTCCAATGGATTAAGTTACTCAAGAACAACAAGCATTTGCAAAGATATAAGATTAGAGATGAACTTTACCATCCAGCAGTTGTCCTATCATTTCTATTTCTCTGGAACCCTGGTTTGCTTATTGTTGACCACATTCATTTCCAATACAATGGACTTTTGAGTGGCATTTTGTTGCTTTCCTTGGCTCGAATGGTTGAAGAAAAATTCATCGAATCTGCCTTTTGGTTTTCAATTCTTCTCAACATGAAGCATATCTATCTTTACGTTGCCCCAGCTTATTTTATTTACCTCCTGAGAGTATACTGTTTTGACAAGGATTTAAAATTCCTTCGAGTCAATTTTGCAAAATTATCAAGCATAGTCGGTGGAATTTTCATCTTTTCTCTTGGACCTTTTATTGTAATGGGACAAATGAAACAACTTTTTGCTCGCCTCTTTCCTTTCGGTCGTGGTCTGACTCATGCTTATTGGGCTCCAAATTTTTGGGCTTTATACAACGGAGTGGACAAAGTGCTTTCTATTTTGTTATCAAGAAAAGCAGAAAATGCAGCTATGACTGGTGGTCTTGTAAAACAATATCAACATGCAGTCTTACCAAGTGTACCACTTTTTAGTCCCACTATAATTTCATTTCTATCTATGGTTGTAAGTATTTCTAGTTTTGTTTAATGTCTTTATAACTTTCACTGTTTAACTGTCATTTTTGCAACTTTATTTTCATCTATTCTCTCTTGTAGCCTATTCTCGTTCAATTATGGAAAAAATGTGACCAACAAGGCCATTCTCCAACTCTCTTTATCCGATCAGTGATTTTATGTGCCTTCTCATCTTTTATTTTTGGCTATCACGTTCATGAGAAAGCCATTCTTATGATAATCTTACCGCTTACACCTTTGGCATTGATATCTCCAATGGATGCCAACATTTTCTTCATGCTCTCCTCTATTGGCACCTATTCTCTTTTCCCGCTCCTCTTCAAAACTGGTGAAACACCAATTAAGATCTGTCTTCTTCTTCTATATAGTATCTACAGCTACCAAGCTTTAACCAAAATTAATTTCTTCGATAAACCAGGAGCAGCAAGTCTACTTCTTCCAACTTTGGATCGCCTTTTCCTTCTTGGAATACCTATTCTTCAACTTTACCAAACATTGGGTCCATATGTTATTCCTTTCTATGCCAAATTACCCTTTTTACCTTTACTTCTTACTTCGACCTACTGTGCTTTGGGTGTCGTGTATCTTTATGTCAAAAGCTATTTGCTTACTTTCAAGTTGAGAAACGTTGAAGAGTTCTGATTGTATTAGTCAAGATAATGGAAAATTCATAATGGCATTGATAATTTATCCTTTTCATTGTACTCAACGGTAATCACTGCCTTGCAATACTTGTATAGCTAAAACAATACTTCTTGAAGCTCTCATAAGGAAAATCAATTAAATTGGACAATTAAAAGTCAACTTATTTAACAAAATAAATCTTCAATATTCCTGTCAATAATTAACATTACTTCAACAATCAAATAAGTTGAAATTTCCAGGCCGGTCAAGGTAATGAATATAATCAACTAAACCACAAAAAAATGTTTCATTAACATCTTCATAACGTTGTTGTGGTTGACTTCTTTTACTCAGTCAATCATTAAATCATAAATATTAATCAGTAAATAGCTGCATCCGTTCAACAGTTAATTATCGTGTTTAAAATTTTAAACATTTAATGATACTTAACGAACAATACAGCTTTAACTTATCGAGAAAAAACCCAATTTTGAATGAATTATTTCTTTCCTATACAAGCATAAAATTAAGTAATTTGATTTGTACTCTATGCAATTGAATTGGAATATTTTATTTCTAATAAAAGGCAAACTTTTCAGAGTGAAAGTAAATCAGGAAAGGATTAAATAGATTACTGAGTTGACATAAGTTGGATAAAAATTGTTTAATGTGATTTAGCCTGAAAATTTGTCTATCAAGATTGAACTTTACTTTTCAAATGTTTTATCAACACTTTTTTAACCTACAAGGAATTAAAGAAGGCAAAAGATTGTCATGATAATCTTAGCCATAATAACAACATTAATAATAATAACAACATTGAGCAAAAGGCTTGGTGATAACAACTGAATTTACTGATTTCATAGAATTGTCAAGCACACAGAAAAAAAGAAAAGAATCAGTAATATTAATAGACTAATACATAAAAGTGAGAGAAACGAGGAGTAACAGTGATTGGAACAATTTAAGATGCGCTATTTTGCTCATTGGTTTTGATTAATAAATTTCCAATATCTGCCGAGTATTACATAGTCAATGGTAGCAACATTTAGACATAGAAAATGAAAAACAATTAATACTAATTGTTTACTGTAGCTTTGGTTTGCCGTCAACAATTAAATACAGTTTAGACAAAATGTTACATTTTTTAAGTTTATTATTTAAGCTTCATCGATTGGCCTCTGCATCTTCTTCTCGTCAGCTTAAGGTTTTACATTTCCATGATCAATAAAGTTAATAAGTGATATTAATTACACTCCGGTGAGATTTATATTTATATGATTTAACTATTTTCTGGACGATTCTTTAGATTAATCAATCTGTAAACAAGCATCCCTTGCCATTTCACATTTAAGGTTAATGAGACTTTAAATTAGAAGGATTATCCTCGAACTCCTAAAAACATGTTCTTATATGTTTCAGCGCCTTCTCTTTTCCAGTTATTTAAACCTCGGTGACCCAATAGTGATACCAAATTGGCGCGTTGATTGTCAAACTGACTAATAAGTCCACCCATTGAATCCAAACGGTTAGGGGAATCAATCAAACGAGATCCACTTTTGGGTCGGATTTCCCACATTTCACCTTCAGCTGATGGAGCCAGCCTAAAATTAAAAAAACTGAGACGTTTTAATAAGCAATTTAACATTTAAAATAACAAAAATAACTAAAATTAGTGAAAAAATCAAGAAAATATCGACAAAATAAAACATTTCTATGTTGAGCTTATCAAGACTTGAGTTAGTCTCGTCTAATATTCAATTCACAAGTAAATTTCCAGGTTTACAGATAAATCTGTCAATTTTATCATTAAAGGTTAATATAATATCTTGATTAATATAATTGATTGGTTAATTTGAATGAAAAATGAATGAAAATTTTGAAAAATCTAATAACTTTTTCTGGAGTCAATTTATTTGATCGTTTTTATTTGAAAAATAAAGTTGACCTTTTTTGTTGAAAAAAATATCAAAAATGATTGTAGCATAAAACACTTTGATAATTAATCTTATTGAATAATTAATACGATTAGTAGGTGGCAATAAAGGGAGGAAACAGATTGAAATATTGATTTAATGAATTTGAAAATATCATCATTGACTTTGATGATTACATTGTATTCAATAATTTATCCAATTTAATCGTTTCAATCATTATTGATGTTTATTTTTTTCAATGCATTAATAATGGCAGTAATTTGCGAATCTTTTCCTTCTTTAATAACTTAATTAACTCAATTTCAAGAAAAAAAACCAATGCTATTCAGATTTGCTATTGACGATTGACTGTAACCGTTGGCACTATTGGATAACTTGAAAATGATGTTTACAAGTTTTCCGCATTTCCATTAATCTGATTGAGAAATTCATCGAGATTCACTGAATTTGCTTTTGATTTTAATAAAAGTAACAAATTCAATCAAGATAATGGAACTACTTTAACTAGTTTGGATAATATTATATGTAATAACGATGGTACATTTGATAATAAAATCTCGAGTGAAATGAAAAGGATCAACAAAATATTATTGCTTCGGGCAAAGATTTCAAGTTAATGTGTTGATCTAAAATGTCTATTACATTAGTTTCATGTCAATTATGATCTTATTAACTTACTTATTGATGATCTAATCAAAACCATTGTATTAGATAATGTTACTTAAATAAATTGGTTAATCAAAGCTAAACTAATCAAATGACAAGTACAATCTTGGTAGAGCAAGAGTTTGGCCTTAAGAAAGTTTGCATCAGAAACAGCCTGTGATTCAAGATTAATCTGGTGATTAATTGTTAAAGATTGAGAGGCAAATAAGCGATTAAACTTTGTATCACAGTGTTATGATCAATTATGATCAACAGTTGTTCTGATCATCAAATTGGTTAAGCTGTTAATCTACTAGTGAAATACGTTTCAATCTTTTCATGTTATACTTTGGTTTTGATTCGGTTTCAATGATTTGTGACTTACCGGTGATAGAAGCGTGTGATTCTGTCCATGGGTGTATTAAGCTGATTGTTATGAACATCATTGATTCCTATGTAATGTAGTAAATTGTCCTCATTGCTACTGGTTTGGGCCGTTGCGATAAGAGTAACCATTGGCAAAATAAGGGTTAAAGTAATCATTATGTGATCAACCATTTTGATTTAACAGTGTTTTTAGCCAGAAAGATGGTCGGCAGAGACGCAGTGATTAACTTGATTGGTAAGAAAAAGCTAGATGAATGTAAATCGGGAAAACAGCGAGATAGATGAATCGACCCAGAAGCAGCAAAAAAATTAGTATCAGTGGTTGAAAACTAGGATTTTGTTGAGACGAGTATCAACTTTTGCTTGATCACCTTTAAAACATGCAACACTTTATACCAACAATCAACTAAGAATCAAAATAATCACAAAAACAATGTTTTTAAACCTTACAACTTGGCCTTTAGCTTATTTTTGATAAGACAACAAAGGTAAAGAATCAACAATAACAAAAGAAAAAGTATCTTCCAAGTTAATCTTTGTTTCTCTCTGTCTCTCTCTTTTCATTATCTTCCATTATCATCCATTTTTCTATCTCCCTCACTGGTATAGGATGAGTTATCGGAACAAGAATTACCTCCAATCTATCAGCATGATAAATTCAATACTCAGAGGAAATATGGTTCTGATTATGTTAGCAGCTCCTTTTCTTACTGCCATTATGGGCTGCTATTACGTACCAATGATTTTGTTCAATGTCATGCTCGAAAACGAAAGGTGTTCATATTGACAAATTATCAGCTTGATCCTCTTTATCATCATCAGTGTCATCATTATCTTCATCATCATCCATACCATCTCTAATATTCATCATCATTGTCAACGCTTTCATTTAAATGTTGAATCATTTAACATTTGAAAATGGTTTGTAATGAACTTTGGTGAGATTCAAGCATTCCCCTTGTTACTTTCAGTGTAAAAAATTGTAGATCGTCATTCCAAGTCTTTTGTTAACTCCTCTGAACTTTTTGTTTCCTGCTCATGGTCCAACCTGTTGAAAATAGAAATGAAAGCAATTTTAATTAATCATAAAAGTTAATGATGATGATGATAGAATTGAATTAGTAATTTCACAGATTTCATTTCAAGTCATTTTGAAAACAAAACAGCTTCTCTATCCATTTCAAGCTATAGATTGAATTGCAATAGGCATATTAATTTATTAATGGCACTGTTCATTAGTTAATCACTTTGAAACATAACTTGTTGATCTTTTTTTTTGAAAGGTCAATTAAAATCTTTGATGTGTGTTAAAAACTAATCTGTTGGAGTGATTTTGTTTTTTTATTTCATACAAGAAATATTGCTTCTGTTGTTTGTGATGGTTGAGAGAAAAGATTGAAGCATTACTTTGATTATCGTCGAAATTTAATTAATCTATTATATTTTTACCGGAACCATTACTGGATGATATAAATTGATCTGAATGGAGGCTCACAAAGATAGACAATTGTGGTTTCTGGTTATTGTTAAGTTTACCTTTTATTTTCAGCTTTCAGGGTGAATTTTAAAAGCACAGCAATTGCTATTACCAATTGTTATACTTTTTTGTGTGTGTTAATAGTGAAGATTGATGATTCTAGCAACAGATAACTTCTTTAAATTGAATGAGTTTACCATGATAACACTCAGTTTATTGATATTTCGCTTTTCGCAACTAATCTAATTGCTGTTCATTTGAAGATAAGATCTGGACAATATCAGTCAAATAAAATGATTCATTGGATAAGTCATTCAATTGAAATGAACAATTGAAGGTCGGTTGTAAAGAAACTTACATCTTATTGATTATAGGCAAACTGGACTCTGACAAACAACTGGTTACGTGAATAGAGATAAGCATATTGACAATTTTAGCAACTAAAGTGGCACCACGATTACATCCATGATTGGTCAGCTAAACATCGATTGACTCCGAATAATTCATTTCCATATTTCTGGTCCAAACCCATCAGGAAAACAAAATGTCTGGCTGTGAAAATAAAAGATTGACGTGTAAATAGCTTGGCGTTTTTACATAGGCTAGATTGATTGAATGCTTCATTGGATATTGAACAATTTAAATTTAGTTTCAAATTATATCATAGATCAGAATTTTGATGAAAAATATTAATTAAACACCTATTTATAATTACCTTTTCTAGAATTGAAAACACTTTCCTTGGTTACACAATTGGTGGATATAACATTACAGTAAATCGTTGCTTCAATAAGGCATTAAAATGGTGGTGAGAAAAGCTATCCAGTCCGTGGGAATTAAACCTTGACCTGAATAGGTTTGATTGAACAATAATCAAACTTTAAGGGCTAATTGTGGTCTAAACTTGGGCCAAATATTGGCCTACACACTTAATTAAAATTAGTTGGCATAAAACACAAAAGACGAAAAGACAAGATTGAAAGCTTTCAAATGGCTAAGCCTTAACACATGCAACTTGAGTGACATCTAAGTCGTTACATATTCATTTTGTTTTCCTATTATTCTATCGTATGTTTTTATCAGTTGAAACCCTTTGAGTGTTTCTTTGCTTTTAAGAAATGTGATCAAGCCCTATTGTATATGATTGAATCAATTGATGAAAAGTTCAATTGCTGTGTTAAAAAGAAATGCCTCTTTATTTAAAATTGTTAGTTTATTTAATAACAGCTATCTCACTGTTTACACAGTATTGACACTTTTTCAATCATCTGCTGGTCAATATTTCAATGAGCCATTTACAAATTTTCCTGTTAACCAGGGTCCAGGATCGTTCGCTTATCCACCGATTGCTAATTTTCCAGTTACTCCATCACCATATTATGGTTCACCATTTACTTTAGCAAACTATTTTTCCCCTATGGTTCAACAGTCGTCGCCTTTTGTACAACCACCAACTAGCCATTGGAATCATCCACAGTTTGCAGGCAACAGTGAGTCTAATGATGCCAGAGCTAATTTACCATTTAGTGGTAGTAATAGTGATTCCAATTCGGATAGAGGGAAAGATGTTGTTGAAGGAGAGGAAAACCCGAACCCAAAAATTACGGATAACCACGAAAAGCAAGCGGAAAAAAATACTGAAAATATGTGGCCGTCAGACTCAAAATTAACGACTGATAGACGTTTTGGTTTACTGTCTAAACTGTGGAATAAAAAGAAGGCTAAGAAACAATCGACTAAACATAAACATGATCACTTTTACCATCAAAATGTTCACCATCACCATCATCATCACCATTATCATCATCATATTCACCATTATCCAGGTGGAAAGCCAAATCCTTTCAAGAGTGCAATGAAAAAATTAAAATACAAATGGAAGTTCAAATCGCAAATCAAAGAAATAGGTGAAGCTCCACCAACTCAACATATTTACGATCAACCACCACCGGTGCAACCCTCTTATCCAGATCCTCAACCCTACACTGTTCATCATCATCATCCTGGACATAACGGTTACTGGTGAAGCATGAAAAACTTACTATGCCATCAACATCATCAAAGTTTCTACACATCATCTATAATTCAAAGCTAGACATGACTCCATGCATCTCATCATTCACATTTCATTCAGGATCACTCTTTTTTCAATTCCAACAATGAAGTGTCACAAATGAAATGATTTGGACGCGATTTTTATCTTTCATTTCAAATTTCAACAAAATCTGTGAATAAAAAGAGTGCTTGGAGCTTGAAAAATTATATGATTTTGGATTCTATTCGGTCTAATCTTTAACTAGAACTAATCTTATTGATTTAGTTTTTGTTCATCTTTTAGCCCAAATAGAGTTTGGAATCACTGAATTCACTAATTGAACCAAACATAAGAAATCTCGTTTCGTATTTCTTTTCTTGATATTGATCATTAAAAATATCTTTTTGACATTAAATATCAATCCAATTATTGGTAATAATTGACTCACAAAGCAGAAAATTAAATAATTGTTTAAATTATAGCTTTATTCAAAAATACAAAAGATACTTAAACATTTTACACATTTTTTTCAATTATTCATTTTTGAATTGATTAATATTGAGTGATTGACTGATTAAACTTGATGAAATTTAAAAAAGTGACTTAATGATTAACTTTGATTCTTCGCAACCGCGAACAGCGCCTTCGATTGAATTGCGTCTGCAGATTTAAAAGGTATCTTTTTTTGATGAGATCTTCGAGAAAAATTATCTGCAAAATGGCTTGGTTTACAATATCAACCTAGAAAAGTTCAAATATAGACAAGACAAAAATTAAATAAAACTAGATAAATTACGAAGAAAAATTAAGGATTGAAGAAAACTTTTGAATGCTAAACTTGATTAGTTAATAGCATAATGGGAAATTGAAATGAAAAAAGGACTTGAGTTCATAAAAGACAAATAATAAGATCGCTTACCTTGTCCACAGATTCATCTGGAAGAGCAGCGGTGATTGGAAGTGAATCACGAAGATTGTTGAATTCCTGAAGAAGCTCCATAATTGGTGATAATAACAATCAATAAGATTAGTGTTAATGTATTGAAACTGACACGAAGTCTAGAGTTTTAGCAACTTTGGTGTGTCAACTGTGATTTCATAAAAAGTAGTAACAAATGAACCTATCCATTGGTGTACAGTTTGTTAAATATGGCCAAAGTGATGGGAAATAGAGAGAGTGAGAGAGAGAAAGAAGGAGAAATGAAAACAAAAATGTTGACACCAAAAGTTTCCCGGGTCTAAAGTACTTTCCTTTCCACTGTCTTTTTGTCTACATCTTTTGGTTTCAATAGTTGCTTTCCTTTTTTTTCACATCATCTTGTTAACACGTGTTTCCATTGGGCACTTTTTTCCTAGAAAAAAAGACCTCATAGTCTAATTAACGGGAAAAAATCTCACAATATTTACCCCTCAATTAGAGGCATCCAAATTTGAGTAAACAGTTTTCATCTTCAATCAAATTGTTACGACAGCTTGCATTTCATTGATTTCATTGAACAATCGACTATTTTCTTGAAATATTGGTTAGTCACGTCATTGAACAGTCCTGGATATTGATTATGATTTAACTAAATAATTTAGTTGATCTGGATGACTATTAAATGTCTAGTTATTGATAATGTTTCAGATTTTGTGCCATTTATGAATTTAATTGGTTATTCGTGATAATCTTTGATTGCAAATTAATGGGCTTGAAGATTGTCGATGAAGGACACAAAAAAATGATGATAGGCGCACATATGGTACCGACAAGTGATAGACGATCATGGGCGAGGTTTAACAGTGTTCAAGTTATGTAGGGAAAGAGAAACTGCCAAAATTAAACAATTTTTCAAATCAACAAACTCGCAAAATCTCCAAGATCTTAAACATTCGGCCTTTTCTTTGAACTTTCCACATTGAACGTACATTTCCGTTATTCCTTTTTTTCTCCTTTAGCTGTTGTTTTAGCTACTGATGCCTCCAGTACCAATTTGGTTAGTTGTTTGAACAATCCATTTGCAAATTATGAAACGTTGACAGATTTATGTAAACCAATGGATGAGATAACTTAATCAGTCATTGCTAAATTGCTTTGAAATTGTTTCCAATCGTCTCTGATTTAGTTTCTATTGTTGTCATCTTAAAGTTAAACAAATTAACTTGATTTATGGAATGCTGTGCCTTATATCATCATATCAGAGTCATTTGTACTCTTAAGAGATACTTGTATTACATGTAAACAAGAGTTATCCTCGAAAACAAATTTCCAGCAGTTTTTAAATCTTCGGATTAACAGTAAACAGATTAATTTGAACTTGAAATAAGTCAGTGATGGAGGAATAAGCTTGTCTGTTCTATGAATCGAAATGAGAATGCCAAATAAATCACACAATATTGTGGCAAATAGTGATTAGTTGAAAATAGTGTGATGATAACTGGTGACAAACTCGGGTTGAATAATTTCTTAGTGATCGTTGGCTAAATGGTGTGATTAACACATTGGAAATACCGATTAGCCGTATGGTAAAAATCAGACCATATTTACTAAATCGTTTTGTCAGAAATGTTTGGTTGGAATAACACTTCCATAGTAAGAAGTTAAAGATGAGAAAGATGATTATCAGCGGCGAGATAACATATTCAACTGGCAAAGATATCAGATTGACAGTTTGACTTGAAGTTGTCGAGATCAGTTAACTAATTGAACCCTTCATGTGACCAAATTGGTCAGGCCAATAGTTTACAATTTTCAAAGAAACATCCGTTGTTGACGAAATAACCAGTTGAGATTGACTCAATGATTTGCTCATTGCCTTTTTGTCTGTTGGCTTTCTTGACCTCCATCCTTGTTTATCCTTTGCTGCTTCCCCAAAAACCAATCAGCAAAAAAACATCAGTTAAAACTCGAAAATTGTGTTCCTTATTTCATCTTGAATGTCAATTAACAGCAAATTGACACAAACACTAATTAGCAATCCATTAGAAATAGGTATAAAATGAAGGTTTGATATGTTGATAAGTGTCCACTTGTCTTCATCAGAATTAAAGAATAATTATGGATTGATAAATCATTGTGTCTGGTTACAGTTAATTGATTGCCAAGGTTGAAACACTTCCGAATTGATATAATTTTGCCAACAGGTGAGAGAGGGACTTTTGTTGAGGAAATGGATTCTCTTTATAAAACCTAAAGTTTAAACAGAATGAGAGAAATTTTTCAGTTAACAAGCAAAAAAAAGAGTAAAAAATAGATAAATTTAATTGACCTTTAGTGTGATTAACAGGAGATCATTGAATTGTCAAGGTTATTAGAGAAAGGTATTATTATTATTAAACACACATCAACAAATACGCATTACTCACCAATAAGCAACAGCAACAAATAATACAACAATAACGACTCCTTAACACGCAAAATACGATACATAACAATTGTAGCACGATGGGTTGACCATGATCAACAAGTTATATAATTAACATTAAACTTCCGTTATAAATTGTACACTTGCTGTCCGGAGAATGGCCTCCGATTATGTAAAAATCACCTTCTCTTTTTTAAACCACATCCTACCAAAAACAGCTTTACCAACAGCAAAAAGGGTTTGGAGAAAGTAAAGGATAAGGGGGAGAAGTTAAAAAAGGTTAACACCGTTTGATTTTTCTTTTAAAAGACACCATCGTTTTGTTCAATTTCACCAGTTCTCCTTTTGAATTCTGTGAAGTACAATCCAATTCCAAACGCGACTTTTGGATTAACTGTTTAATAATTGCTGTGAATTAAAAAGATCAACATTTACAATGAACCCTAAATTGGTGAGTTAATTTCAATTTTATGTTACTGTGAAAACAAGCCATAAGAGTATCAGCTTACATCAAATCAGCTTTACCCTTTTCCCGCTAGTTTCTATCTTATGTTTACAAAGGCAAACCAAACGATGTTTTGCAGATTAAATAGTTGATTTTTTATTATTTGTTTACTATTATAAAGACGCAATTTCTTAATTTCAACTTTAAAGTCATTAGGATAAGCGTCGCGAATCTTAATGGATCGACAGTTTTGAGTTTTTTTCAAGTTTATTGCTACTTATGTCACTCAGTTACTGCTGACATTGAAAATGTCTCGCTTTGTATTGTTACATTTGCAAGATTTGTTTTTTTTGTAGCTACAGTTAATCTAATGAGAGATTTAGCTAATCCCTCTTTTAGCTAATTTAATCTTTTCCAACTCATGTTTCCATTTGTCATTTTTGTCCCATTGTACCGTTTGATCAAGTATGTGAAATTTTACTGATTTATCTCTTGCTTCCTCTTTCTACTTCACCAGGTTTTGCTTAATCTTTGTCTTTTGGCGATTCTAATCCCGTTGACCCAAGGATTTCCTTACAAACACAGCCATGAAGAGGAGGATGACGAAGAGGAGGAAGAGGAGGACGACAAATGGGGTAAATTCGGTAAATACGGTAAATACGGTAAAAGCTATGAGGACGAAGAAGAAGAGAAAGACGATTATGGAAGCAAGAAAATGTTCTTTCCATTCCACAAGAAGGAAGATGAATACACCAAGAAACCAAAATGGTCTTCCGGTGGATGGAGTCCAATAAGTCCTCCAGGCCTTGATTTGTATGGTCAGGGAAAGTACAATCCAAAGTATTACAAATCATATGGAAGTGAGGAAGAAGAGTATCCTAAAAAGAAAAAGTCTTACAAGAAGAAGTCAAAGAAGGAAGAAATCAGTAAAGATATTCTGAAAGAAGTTGATAAATATATTCCAGAAATTGATTTCGTTGATGAGGAAAAGAAGAAAGCTTAATTGATTCATTCATTCAGTGGAAATTCCAAGAAATATTCTAAACCTCTTGAACTACTCCTTCATCTTATTACAGATTGTGATTGAACCTATTCTCAGCAAATTTTAATGTTTTTATTCGTTTTCTGATTAAGTTAACCTCACAAAAAAACACAAAATACAAAAAAATAATGTGCCACATTTTACACACTTGTACTAATTTAATATGTATTCATCAATAAATAGTCTTATTTCTTTAATTGCTCAAACTGATGTTTTCTGTTAACCATTAATTCATTTTTGAAACAAATAGTTTCGATAATGCTATTTAAGAGTAATCATGGTAAACAAAAACTTCCGAATTGAATGAAAAGAAATGAATTTCAAGATTTTTCAACCGGAAAATGTTTCAAGAATCTCCAATTGCATAAGCAAAGCCAAAAATATTTCCCTAATTTGATCCAATTTCGGGTATACACACAAAAAGGCAAAAGTGGAATCTAAACCTATCAAGGACTCTCAATAAATCAGGTAACTTACAGGATAATCAGATAACAAGAAACTTTGCTAGTCCATCCAATGTATTTCCCAACTAACAAATTGTAAGTAAATCGCAGGCCAATGTATTACTATTATATAATACATTATGTAAATCTGTAAGTAGCAAACTGATTCAATTTAATTTTCGTTCAATTTGTTTCTCAACCAATTCAGACTTTTGAACATTTCTTAATTGACTTTTGATATTTATCATTCCAATAAAATAACGCATTAAGACAGTTTTCATATTGAAGGTTCAATGTTTTTACAAGGACTTTACAATGGTTAAAATTTAATCAATATGAATGTTTGATTGTTGGTTGAGTTAAATATTTAATGAACCAGACTCAACTAGAAAAGGCAAAACAATCAGAATATACAGAGTATAGTAGATGTCAAACATTGAACCTGATGTCAGATGATGCACTTTAAAGTTTCCATAATTTAGCTTCAAATAAACATCTGAATAATGCCAACTATCAAATTGATTGAACAAAATTCTGGTTTCATTTGAATTTGTGTATGAAATGTCAATTGATTCAATCAATGCAATGCGACATTTAAAACATAATCAGACAATTTAAAGGTTAATCGCTTTACACTTTTACACGTTTCCATTCCTGTACCTGAGTTAATTGATAATACACAATGTTTTCTCTGACTTTGATAGTTAATTAATTGAATTGTCGTTCATTCGAAATAAAGTAATTTTTCTAAAAATAAGGATTAAATAATGTAACTGTAACACTTAAAATTGCTTATAAAATGAGAAATAATCATTTAGACAAGATCTGTTACGATAGTCTGATTAGAAAATTGTAGATTTTTTAATAAAATGTTTATATATTTAAAATTAGATTCAATTTGACCCAAAATTAGCCGGGAAAGTAATTTAATATCAAATAATCGAGTTATTTGCTCAGATTTGAATGTCCCACTAAAAAGATGGCTTCACTCGTAATGCTCACTCTTGCCTCTCTTTTTCTCCTTTCATGCGTCTGCATCATCAAAGCATCCATAACAACCTGGATTAGGATTGATTGTTATTTTTCATTTAAACGTTTTTCTATTTCAATTCTTGATCAACAATTTAATTAATTTTAGTCACAATGTCAGGCGATAGTGAAGCAAAGGCTAACCAGTATATCCAGGAAGCCCAGAAAAAGCTTAATGCCTCAAAAAGTTTCCTAGGAGGATTGTTCGGGTAAGAATATAAAATATTGTTTTCTTTCCTATCAATCAATCAAAAGACACCCAATTAACAGTTTATTACCCTACCAAACCATTTTCCTATCTTGTAAAAAAGGCTTTTCGATATTTCTGGCTTGCTGAACTACCTATTTTTCCTGATAGGTTACATTAAGATTTTAAATAAGATCTAGTAAACATTTGTTTACATATTTTGACAGCAAACCGTCCATTGGATTTCCATTTATTTATTTTGATCCATCTACGTTTTACTTGCTCTCGTATATACTTGCTCTCTTGCTAATATATTAAATTAACTATGCTGTTTCTTTGAATATGCAATTTCTACTTTATCGGTCTCATGGCCTAATTTTGAATTATATCGTTAACCAAATAATTGATGAGCTCTTTTTCTCATTATTCGGATTTTTAGGGGCTCTTCTAGAGTTGAAGAGGCTATCGAATTGTACATCAAAGGTGCTAACTTATTTAAAATGGCTAAAAAATGGATGGCTGCCGGAAATGCTTTCACAGAAGCCGCTTCACTTCATTTGAAATCTGGTAGTAAACATGATGCAGCAAGCTGCTATGTAGATGCTGGAAACTGTTACAAAAAAGTGGACCCTCAAGAAGCTGTCAATTCCATACTAAAGGCTATTGAAATTTATACAGACATGGGACGATTTTCAATTGCTGCTAAACACCATATGACAGTGGCTGAAATCTATGAGAATGAAGCTGTCGATATTGAAAAAGCTATTGCTCATTTCGAACAGGCCGCTGATTACTATAAAGGAGAAGAATCGTCAGCATCTGCGAATCGATGTCTTCTCAATGTTGCCCGATACGCAGCACAGTTGGAGCAATATTCAAAAGCCATTGGTATCTACGAATCAGTTGCTTCTTCATCTATTGACAATTCTTTGTTAAAATACAGTGCGAAAGAGCACTTTTTCAGAGCTGCCCTTTGCCATTTGTGTGTTGATTTATTGAATGCTCAGGTAAGATATAAAAGTAGATTATGTTTATTTACAAAATTTTCAACCCTTCTTTTTCATATTTTTTAGTTGGCTATCAAAAGATACGAAGAAATGTATCCTGCTTTCAGTGATTCCCGGGAATGTAAATTTGTCAAAGGACTTTTGGATAAATTGGAAGAATCAGACGTTGAAGGCTTCACTCAACTTGTCCAAGAATATGATTCAATCAGTCGACTAGATCAATGGTTCACTACCATTCTCTTAAAAATCAAGAAACAAATTCAACAAGAACCTGATCTGAAATAATTACATTGATGCTACAACTTAATATGAACGTATTGCTTATTGTTTTTGGGCAATCTTTCTCTCTCAGTCTCCTTTTCCTTTCATTTTTCTTTCTCTTTATTTCAAAATCTCTTTGAATAAACTCGCACTCGCAGACTACCTATGAGTGTATATCTTTCTCCTGCCCATCATAATCATGTATGATATATCTCAACTAATACTCCCATTTGAGTCACTACGTTGAGTGTTTGATTAATGACGGATAGGAGGAAAGGAGCTGAAAGAAGAGAGTAAGATAATCCATAAACTGAAAGCAATTTAAGACATTGAATCATGAAATGATTTATCTTGGTCATCAGCAACATCGTCGCCAGCATCACCTTTATCTACATATTTCAATGATTGAATCATTTGACTTAAAATACTTTTCGGATCATTCCTGGTCATTAAATCTATGCTGAATATTTATTTCGCTGTGAGTGGTAATTTCAGTCTTACAGGAAGAGAAATTTTCAATTTTTTCCCTGTTCGACTTTTTCGGAGCCTGGATTGCAAATGCTCAGTATGTGTGTTGAACCTTATGAAAGTTGGCTATTTAGAAACAATTTAAATCATCATTCAAATCAAAGGGCAAAATTATATTAGTCTTATTAAAATAATTCGTTACTTTAACTTTACAGAGAACTATTAATTTTGACAAATATAATATATAACATGAAAATATAATTTTACGTTTATCTCTTGCTGTACAATGCATATTCAACTGCACTCTCGAACTCGTTCCTCTCTCATCTTGTACATTTTTGAGTTTCATTTCTGCTGTTCATCTTCAGCTTATCATATCTTGAACAGCAATTCCTTGAAAATTTTAAAAATTATGATCCAAAAAATAGGATCTCGATTCAAATGTAATGAAAACAATACCAAAAGAAGATTATTGATGCAAATTAAAATATTCAAATCATATTTTTATCACTATTTTTCATTAAATCTTATTTACCATTTGAATAATCACAAAATAACTAAAGCAATTCATTTTGACTGACATTCAATACTGATTCACTAATCAGTAAATGAGTAGATTTGATCATCAGATTATAAGATTTGGTAAGAGGGAATCATGAAAAATCTAGCTTTCTAATAAAATAAACACAATGAAATACAAACACTAACAAACACTCGTTGTTTAATTTTACAATCAAGGGTCAGAAAAATTTAAAAAATTAATATAAATAATAAGTTGAATCTACAGTTAATTTAGTCGATTATTGGTTTTAATAAACATTATCTAAATGATCTTGCTCTGTGGTGCAGTCCAAGTAAAGCGGTCAAACGAAAGGCAACAATCAAAACAAATAACATTGCAAAGTCAAAATTAACATTCCCAACCGAGAAAGACAATTTGTTAATAACACCTTCACCAGTAACCGTACAATCAATAATTTGATGACCATAAGGAGTTGAAGTGATATATCGATTGTTAAGCCAGTAAGGACAAGAGATGTTTTTGACACCTTTCCATTGATTTACAACCAAAATTTCATTTCCATAGTAAGGCCAGGATAAATATTTACCCCAAGCAATGTATTTAGGGATCGATCTATTGGACAGTACAAATAAAGCTAACATAAAATATCCGTATTTAACAATGAATAGCTACACAACCTCAAAAATCAGGGTTCAAATTTTACCACCTACAGTTCAAGATATTGATTGGGTTTACCAGAAAATGAGCCAATCTCATCAGAATGGATTGGATGGTTTGAATAGATTTTTGAGATTTTGTATGAAATAAAAGGATTGATACCTTTGATTTATTGGAAGACCAGCAAAGATAAGAAGCGATGAGATCGCTGTCGGAGCAATGGACAGAGCTGCGTTCAATGATTGGCATAAACATCCAACCAAATAACCAAATGATGTCGATACATTGGTGACTAAAATAATACAAGCCAAGCTCACCATAAATCGAGTCCCATTCGGGTTAAGATTAATCATCCAATAGCATATTGTTAATGAGATAGAAGGTAAAATTAAAAAGAAAGGCAATTCAGCAATTGTTTTACAAAGGAAATAGACATTGACTCGATATAATCCACTGTTGTGTTCACGGACGAAGACTGGCAATTCATGACAAAATGTCTTGAAGAAGAAAATATAAATCAAATGATTAGTTGATCATAGTTGAGTGTAAATTTTGATTTGATACATGGAGTGCATTTTAGGCTAGTAATTTGAAGGTTTGTTTTGGTAAAATTAAGAAATAACTGAATCTTGTTGACCTTTGGTTAGTAAACAAATTTACCAAGTAAAGGTTGAAGATTAATTAACTTACATTGACCACGGAAACTGCTGGTGTAATTGTATTATTTATCAATATCATAAACAATGCTCCGGTAATATTCATGATGGATTCTTGGTTATACTCCTGACGAAGGTAAATAAAGCCCATAATCAAGGATAGAGCCTATTGAATTAAGAGTGAAAAATAAGTTAAGTGAATCAACAATTGGTTGAACAAGAATGAAACAAGAGTTAATTTGATTCGAATTTGCTTACAATTGTTTCTAAGAAACGAGTTGATGTAACTGAATATTCACGCCAATTACAGAGGAAAGATCGACTTAAAATAACCCAAAATTGGGTTAAATAGGTTGATCGGTAAACTAATGAATGACCAAACATGGATTGATAGGCATCGCTGTTCACAATGGATGTTGATTGAGTTAAACGTTTCTTCAATGATTGTCCATAACTAGATTCAATAAATTCATCACAAATCATCTGTAAAATCAATTACACATTGTTAGTGAATGGATGAAAACTGAAAAGTGATCAAGTTAGGAAGTTAGTAAAAGGATTCTTACATTAACCATTTGTAGGTCATCTTGTTCATTACCAGGAGAGATTGATATTTTTTGAATGAAAAAATCAGCTGGATTATAATTTGATGGACATTCCATTCCGAGTGATGAATAAAATTTAAGAGCATCGGCTGATGTACCAATAAAGGCTAATCGACCCTCCGAGATTAAAAGAAGCTGGTCAAGAAGGGCAAAAATATCAGATGATGGCTGATGAATGGTAATGATGATGGTCCGTTTTGAATTGGCCATTGACTTCAACAAAGAAACAACATTGTAAGCCATGTAAGAGTCTAATCCCGAAGTTGGCTCATCACAGAATAATATTGATGGATTAGTTAGAATCTACTGAGAAGAATGAAGTTTTATGAGTTGTAAAATGCATAACATTGCAGGTTGTTACTAAAAAGACACAATTGTCTCATTTATGCACAAACTGACACAAATACTGAAAGAAAAATGGGCAAAAACGGGTAAACATTAGCTTAGTTCAATTATGGGGTCTGTTAGTTTGTTAAAAAATGAGAACTGAGTCCATTAGTGCGATTTATAAACTTCTCTGATCAATAGTTTTCGAGGAAATCGAGTTCAAAGTTGAAACTTCGATCGCGTTTTCTACAGTTGTTTGAACAGATTTTTTCATGAAACTTATTTGCGCAATGTGACTTTTGATGGTCAACCAGAAAACAAACTTATTTTTAGAAATAAGATTTTCTGTTTACTGCAAAACAGATAAGTTCGATTTTAGGTTGAACCGGCCTTATTCTGCGGCTATAAGAGTTAGAGAACTGAAACTTATTATTGGTCCATAAAAGTTAACATAGTAAACATTAGGGAACGAATTCTTTTTTCAATTTATCAAGAGTTCTCTTAATTTTGACCATTTTGTTTAAAACTTTTAACCTCGATATTTCGAGAATGGACTCACTTACAATCATCATTCATCCACCAATTTGATTCTTTAGCAATTAATAATTTAGTTCGATTCATTAAATTGCCATTAGTGCATTTGGGTCTTGATTTTTGGGTTGTAAATGTGCGAGAAACAACTTATTCAACAAGCAAAACTCATATAAACCCATTTCTTGGTAAATAAACCAATTTTCTGGTTAAACTGTTTAATGTAATGCAAAGACTGCTGCCAAAGGCTCGAACATTTGAGTAAAGAGTTGAGATTTGGCAGGTTTGTAGGGACATAAAAACTAAGTTTATTGATACAGTAAAGTACCAGATAATGACAGTACCAGATAGTGACAGTAAATTTGTCAATGGTCCCTAATTAAGGAGGGGTTTAAAAAATCTGTATTTTTTCAATACACTGCCCGGCGAATAGTAGGAATAAGCTATTTCAAGTTACTGTCATTATCTGGTACTTTACTGTACTATTAAAAAATTCCTCTGATCGACAGTTTATGAGAAAATCGGACTCAAAGTTGAAACTTCGATCGCCATTTGTACAGTTGTGTGACCAGATTTTTTGTTAAAAATTCATTTTGCTTATGTACCTTTTGATAATCAACCAGAAAATGTACATATTTTTGAAAAGTAATATTTTTCGATTTCTTTC